TGATAGATTAAAAGAGATTTATAGCTCCTGAATTAGAGATTAAATCTAAATATATGTACTATTCAAAAATGTTTATTTTAATCTTTTTATTCAGATATAGTGCATAATAAACTTTATACTATTGAATATTAATAGAAATCAATTCTTCCGCTAACTCATTCCGTGAAATTGATCAAATTTAATCCATTGAACTTTTGATCATTCATGTGATAATATGTGTCATCTAAAATATAAAATGTAATTTTATTGGCTTAAAATCAAATTTTTATTAATTTAAAATAATTAATAAGTATTATAAAATTATATAAAAAAGTAAGTAATTATCTTTTTTCAATTTTTTATTAAGTTAAAGTAATTAATAAATTGTTAAGTTAAAATAAATTTATGATTATAAAATCATGAAAAAAATGTATTTTAATAATTTATTAAGTTAAAATAATTAAAAGAATAATTTCCATTTTTTTCAATTTTTTATCAAGTAAAATAAATTATAAAAATTATTTTTTATTATTTATTAAGTGAAAGTAAATTATTTTAAAAAACTGATTTCAAATTTTTATAATTTTTATTAATTATTTTAACTTAATAAAAATTGAAAAAAAAAGGAAATTATTCTTTTTCATTTTTATGATTTTATAATACTTATTAATTTTTTAAAATTAATAAAAAATTGAAAAAAAAATTGATTTTAAACAGAAAATTACATTTTTATCCTTTAGGTTACAATTAGTTATGTAGATCAATCATTTTCTGAGTGTGAGCTTACATAATAATTTGCAAAACAATTAGTTATATCCCAAGCACGGATGTCTGTACAAATTTTTCTTTTCCCTCTCTACGAAGGTCAATTTTTCTTTTTCTTTTTATTTTAAAATATAAAGTAAATTATTTTAAACATCTAATAGTTTGAATGAGGTAACACTTTATCTTTTATATTTTTATAAACTATACTTTATGCCGTAAATATTTGGCGATAAGACCATCTCCAATGCTCTCTTTATATTAAGATTTTTTTTTATAATAAAGAGATTTGACTCAAATGTCATCTCCAATGTTCTCTTTATCACAATCTCTATCTTTAAAATTGAGATACATAGTGTTTTTAGCTCTCTAATACTAGAGAGTCCAAATGACTCTTTATCTTATATTTCATTAATGAAAATTACTATTTTCTATGCAACTCAACCTCTTCACCAATAGTTTCTTTAGGTTTTATGAATTTTGTTAAAATAAAGAGTTAAAGTTAAGAGTAGCATTGGAAAGGATATTGATCTTCAATTTATATGATTAATGGTGCTCTCTATTTATATTAAAAATGTTAGCTAAAAGTAAAGAGCACCATTGGAGATGCCCTAATAAGGATAAAGTAAAGAAAATTAAAATACCCTTATATACACACACACACACACGTGAACCCAACTGCCGGTTAAGTATTTTTTTCCATTCCCATCCAACTATCTCTCTTCTCTTTCATTTTTAGTTCTTTGTTACGCTCTCTCTTTAAAGAGAGAGAAATTTCAAAAAGGCTAGCATACATAGCTTGTTTAAAAAGATAAAAAAATTTTGGATTTTGGTTGATTAAATGTTGTTGTGAATGTTTGAAGTTGATTTGATGAGAAATTGAAACCGAAGCGAAGGTATGTGAAATCCTAACATAAATGTTTGAATTTTTTAAACAAAAATGGCGAGTAAATATTTGAATTAACTTTATACTTGTAGAATCCCAACAAAACTCTTAAAAAATATTGTGGTTTGAAATTTTCAAAAAGAATAAATAAATAAACCCTAGTTGTTACAATGTTGATTTTTTTTTCCTTAAATTTATTGTTACACTATTGTTGGTTCTGAAAAAAATTTCTAAAATATTGTGTTTTTAAAGTTGTTTATGGAATCCCCAAAGAAAACTCTTAATTTTTTGTACTCTAGTTCTACAAGGTTGATGATAGTGACAAAGCCTAGAGGTTAGAGGAAGGAGTGTTCTAATGCCGATCGCGGTGCTAGAACTTTCATGGCGAATCATTTTCTACTATTGTAGTAAGAGCATCTCCAATGCTCTCTTTATATTAAGATTTTTCTTTATAATAAAGAGGTTCGGCCCAAATTCTATCTCCAATGCTCTCTTTATCACAATATTTATCTTTAAAATTAAAATACAGAGTGTCTTTGGCTCTCCAATACTAAAGAGTCCAAATAACTTTTTATCTTATATTTCATTAATGAAAATTACTATTTTCTTTGCCACTCGACTTTCTTCATCAATAGTGTTTTTGGGTTTTATGGATTTTTTCAAAATAAATAGTTAAAGTAGAGAGTAGGATTGGAGAAGACATTAATCTTCAATATATAGAATTAATGATGCTCTCTATTTACATTAAAAATGCTAACTAAAAATAAAGAACATCAATGGAGATGCTCTAAGTGTGGCCTTACCTACGTTTACCGGAAGGTCGATGGTGATTAAGCTTTTTTAGAAGAAAACGTAATGTCATTAATACTTCAGCTAATATATAATCATTACAATTTTTTAAGATTCAAATAAAGATGATAATGATCATAATCGATTCCAATCAAATGTAAAATGATTTGTCTACTAATATAAAAATGATTGGCATTTCGAGTAGCATCTCTTCCTCTCCAAATCATAGCCTTTCAAGTCATCTCAAATTCATAAACTTTCAAATAAGTTTTTTGAGTTCTTTTTTTCCCTTACGTACTTTCCACGATATGATTTTTTTATTTTCCTTTTCATGACTAAAACTCGAAATCTCTTGTTATTCTTTATCAATAGAGAACTAGTCGCACTCGTCGAACCCATTGATAGAAGAAACAAATTTACAATAGTGTGTTGAAACTTTCTTTCATTGATAGATCCAACAACTAATTCTCTTAAAATCTATTCAAAACTATAAATCTATGTTTCAATCTATTGTAGATATTCGAATGAATCTACAATCGATATAATCCAATAGCAAACAATTCAAAACAAATAAAAAAATTCATAATTGTTTGGACAACTAAAGCCACCAAATCTAACATATATAAAAAATAAAAAAAAGGCATTTTGTTTTTCGAGAGAGGTCGAGTCCCTCTCTAACAAATAAAAAATTCTAATTTCAATCGACATGGTGAATGGCTTCAAAAGAATTAATAATAATAAGGGCCATGTTGCCCTTTTGAAGGGCAAAGGCATTGCAAGAAATAAGTGAGCTATATGCTTCTACGGTGGGAGACTTGGTCTCAACCCAAGCAAGATTGTTTAACCAACCTTTTATTTTATTTTAATTTTTTAAGGGGAAAATTGTTCTTTGCGTTCATTCAATACCAAAAACCTATTAAATATGTCTAGGTTTTTCTTTCTTTAAAACACTTCAAGAAATTTTTTTTTTTTCTCACACACCTAAGACTCTTAGCGAGAACTTGCTCGTTGAGATTTGAACTTGTGACCTCTTATTGCAAGAGACCATTATCACTAGACTACAAGCTCTTTGGTTAATTGATGGATACTCTCACCTACTATTTGTGTTATTATGAAATAAAACATGATCTCTTGTTTAAACACTCTAAAAAAAATCATAAATACAAATTGCAGTTTTACATGATTCACTAACTTAGTTGAATTGGGTTTTTATAGCATTTGTATTTATAAAAACCAATTAAGAGTAACTTTAAATCAATATACATAGAGGGAGCAAATATACTCATCCGTATTTATATAATACTTAAAATTTCTTATACATCTTTAGATTTCTAATTTTGTTTTATCTCGTTTCGAAAAATTTTGAAACGTTTAATTTGTCCTTCCGATTAAATTTTCCGACCATAAAATTTTCTTGACCAAAATACAAAAATAAATAAATAAAATAAAAATTCTTAAAGTTACATGACCTACATGTTTTATTTTTAAGTTTTTAAAATTTTATTTTATTTTTTTATTTCAATTAAGGGCATTTCGATTAAAAAATATTTGGCTGAAAAATTAATGTGAAAGACAGATTGAATATTTCAAATACTTTTAAAAACAAATAGAATATAATTTGAAATCTAAAAATATATAAAAGACTTTGAGTATTATATATATAAGGACAAATGAGTATATTTTACCTCAATATTTATTAACCAACTAATTAAGAGTTATAAGTATTTTAACATCATACAAATTATAACGTATTATATTATAAATAATCATGAACATTAACTAACCAACAAATAACACTCACTAATCCACTTACTTGCATGTTACATCCATTAACTTAGGGAGTTATTACAATAACTAATGATCCAACAATTTTTTTTTAATATTATATAAAGGTGATGAATTATTACATTTAAACTAACTCATTTTTTATATCCAAATACTCTCTTTACTTCTCTCTTATATTTTTGACTTATTGCACAAAAAAAATATAAATTTTATATTTTTTTAATCATATTAGCATGTTTTTTTAATGTTAGACAAAATACGGACAAATTAAACTTCGTTAACTAGATTAGTATGTGTGACTTTTTCGACAAAAATTTTGTTAATATTTGACTCGACAGGAAAAAAATGTTGACGAGTAAGGACTAAAATTTCTTATCACGTCAAATATTAACGAAATTTTAATGAAAAAAATCACGTATGCTAATATGGTTAATAAAAGTTTAGTTTGTATATTTTTTGTCCAACATTGAAAAAATATATTAATATGATTAAAAATTATAAAATTTGTGTTTTTTTAATACAATAAACTCATATTTTTTTTATTAACTTAAGTATCCAAATGTCTCCTCATCATGGATATATAAAGCATAACCAATTCATTAATCTAATCCAATAAATCTAACAAGTTTTACAACACTAATCACCTTCATCTACGTATATCATCTCATTCAACCCATTTTTTAACATCAACAGTGTCCCACATCGAAATTATTGACTCACTGCAGAGGACATCATGGTTAATTGCACAAGCAAGAACTACCCCTTCGGTTGTCGGCTTAAGTGGTGCGATTAGGCTTGTCTACGAATGGGCTCGGGGGAGTTGGCTTGTGAGGTTTGCTTCTTCAAGTTTCCAGCCCAAGCAAAAATTGTCCTCCACAACCTTTTCTTATGAGTTTATCATCTATCAATCAAAATAACCCTCCAAAAATGGCTCTAATCGTTTCAAAATGGGCCATCATGTTTGATCATTCAAAATTCTTGTGACATTCTTTTTTATACATTAGAAGATTTATTAGATCTTAAATTATATGCATTTAAGGGTTGGTTTAGGTAGGAAGAAAAAGACTTATTCAACATGAAATTCTCATGTTCAAAATTTCGCTATTAGCGTATTGAAAAAGTAATATATTTATTTTTCATTTTCATCAAAGTACACTAAATTTTTGTCTCCACATAGATGTGATGAGATTTCTTTATATGTTGTTAATGTAAAAAATATAATTTTTTTTTAAATATACAGTCAGTCAATTGATACACATAAAGAGATCGTAAATTATAAAATACAAATCTAACTTCTTATTTAAACTCTCTTGTTTTTTTGAGTGAGGTTTGAATTAAGATGATCTAATACTATGTGAAGTTTAAGTTTGTGTTTAAAATCGAGGAGGGTTAAAGTTTACCTTGCGAAATTATTTGTTTGGTTTATTTAATAGCAAAGGTGAAGTATTAAGGAGATATTATTACCCACTGACATTGCATCAATATTGGTGTTTTTGGATTTTTTTTTTTTTTTTTTACAAGAGCTCCAAGCAATATTTTTTTTTAAAATCTCCTTCTTCTTTTTTGTTTTAAATACACATTAAATTAATTTTTGTTTTCTTCTCAACAATCATTATTAATAATCCTTCATTTTTTTTACCTCATATCAAACATCAACTAATGATTTATGTGTGTATGCAATTGGAAGAATGAAGGATTAAAAATCATAGTACATAGAGATGCAACTGAAAACATTTTTTTCAAGTGCATTCGCAAAGACAACAAATACGATGTCGAACTATCCAAAAAAGGAATCAAACAATTACATAGATTATGAACAATTTATCCGAATAAAAGTACATATCACCAACACCTTATTATTACTCCAATAAAAAGAAAGGAAACTAAAATTTTTTACTTGAGAGTTTTCAATTTATTATTGTAAGAACTCAAACTAAGGTAAATCTTGAGTAATTAAATATGTTTTAGACCATGAGCCATTTTGAATTACATAGAAGAAAATAAAATAAATGGGTAGAATTTTTAGTGCCCAAATTGTATACGGTGATAGTTTCAAATTGAAATGAAAATAGTTTAAAATTGAAATGAAAATATCTTATCGGTAAAAAGACATTTAATTAAAATTATCTCGAAATCTGCAAATATGTTTGGTAAAATTTGTATTATCTACTTAGCCATTAACTCTTTAACCTGATTTTTGAATATTTTGGTTTAATACAACAATTTAACTACACATTCATTAATTAATTTGTTGTTGTAATATTTTGATTCTTTCTTTTTTAATGAACACGATGGAGATGTGCATGTGACTTATCAAATTACAAAAAAATGAAGTAATCAATATGCATTGATTATATATAAAGTAAATAAGGATTATGCAATCTACAATATAATTTGAAATAATTTTTTTTCGGCATGCAAACAAAGATAAGGAAACAAAAAAGTTATCACTATTTGATTAACATATTAATCGTTGTTAATTTTCTCCAATATCTTACGTGGGTATGAATCAGGACCTAACAATATGAAGGCTTCTAGGGGTAACTATTTTGACAAAAAAATTGAAAGGGATATATGCATCACAAATATTCATCTTTTATGTCACTTGTAACTAAAATTCATGGAAAGCAAATGAATAAATAAAAATTCATTTATAAAATATTTACTCTCATGATACTTAGATGATTATAATTTATTATTAAGAAATTTTTTCTTTCTTCATTTCATAACTTTATGTTAATAATTTGTTTTCTTTTAAGTTACGTAAGTTTTCTAGGCTCAAGCAAGTTCAAACAATTCCTTTGGTTCCTAATTTCTTTTTCTTTTTTTTAATTAAAAAAATGAGTAGATAAGCTTTAAAAATAAACAAATTAGACGGGGTGATTGAATTTTGGTGCTGTGAAAAATGAATTCCTCATAATGGGGTGATGCATGCCTTGAATTTTCATGCCAGTAATCCTGTATTTTTTTTATTTTAAAAAAAATAAAAACAAAAACATCTGTTAGCTCAGATTTTAACGGATCATTAACGGTTTAGATGATCAGTCCACATCTACTAGTCCCACATCGGGAATATTGACAAACTATAAGTACGTTATGTATAATTGTACAGACAAAGCTAAGCGCTTGGGTTGTAGGCTGACATCCTCCCTCTTTCTAGGGTTTGCTATTTTTTCTTTTTAACATACAACAGTCTTTTCACTTTTGCTTGAAAATTCAAAAATAGTACAAACTACTTGGATTTTTTTAGTGGAATTGAAAAGCAATATCAACATCTTCTGCCCACTATTTATTTTAGTTTTATATACTATTCTTCTTGCTACATTGATGTTTTGATGGGGTTTTGGTTTTTTGAATTGATTTTGACGATAAAAATATCATCGAATTACGACTAAATTTTCTTTTTTTAAAAAAAATATATATATATATCATTTGTTGATACATTGAGTTAGAAATTATTTTCATTCTACTTTCTTGCATGATAAAAAAAATACTCATTTGTAAAACATTTGTCATCGTGAGAGTGAGATGATATGTTATTTCTTTCGTAATTTTATATTAAATTTTATTTATTTATTGAATTTTATCAGTTTCGTTGGACAAAAAACTTTGTTGACTGTAATGAATAATATAACGTGGATAAAACCAAAACAAGTTATTATGATATTGCAATAAGTTTATTTTACTTAGGTTAATTTTGACTAGTTAAATTGGATAGGAATTTTTTTATGTAATCACGCAAAATGATCAATTTTGAACCTGAATTATCCAAATATTTACTCCTACTTAACACGTAAATACATTCATTTTCTTGTTTAGTGTTCTTTTTATAATTCGAAAACTAAATTATCCAACCCTTTTTCTTCTTTTTTTTTTTTTTAACAAAATTCTCAGAAAATTAAACTCAATTTACGAATTGAACATAACATTCTAATAGAACATCAGATACAAATACAAACTTCCAATTCTGAGTTATATCAGCCTAATACAAAAATTAAAGCAACTTGGCTTGAAATTATTATTATTATTAAATTTATTTTATTTTTTTATTTTTTTGAGAAAGGAAGGGTATAAAGTATTAAAAGATTAACTAGAGTGTATATCTCTCAAATCAAAAAAATATATCTGCCATTACTGTTTACTTATTTGCTTCCCACAAATTCTATCTTTTTTCTTCGGTTTTTATTATTATTATTATTTATTTATTTATTTTTATTACGATCGAACTGATTCATTAGTTAAAAGCAACTGAATAGGGCACAGCCCAGTATAAATGGAGCAAAGCAAATGGGCTTTTTAGCCCACAAACAAAAGGTACTCCCAATATCCAGAGTAAATTATAAATTAGTCCCTGAAACAAATTAATTAGTCACTTGTTTTTTGTTTTAAAGAAATAGAAAAAGGTAAAAGATAAATAGATATTCTGGAGAGACTACAAGAAAAGAATTTTTTTAAAATAAAATAATATTAAATTAAGTATTATCAAAGACTGTAAAAGAACTAAATAATTAGTTTTAAAAATAAAAGAAATCAATTAATTCATTTCTCAGAAGCACTAATTTATAATGTACTCCTAATATCCTTGAAAACAAACAAACAAACACGTCCCTAAATTTTTGTAAATCTGTTTAAAAAATATATATAAAAACGTGGGTGGATTAATTTAAGCTACTACTATTGTCATTTTCAAGATTTTTTTTTTTCTGTAATAAAAGAGAAACATGTCGGAAAAATGATCCACTAATGCCAGCTAAGCTACAGTTCATTGTCAAGTCCAAGACTTCAGCGGGTTTGGATGGTGTGGTTCTGTTTTTCCAACCCAAGCAAAGGTTGTCTCCTCTTTTATCTTTTCATACAAATTTGGTTTGCTATTTTTTATGTACAACGGTTTTTTTACTTTTACTTGAAAATTCAAAAATAATATAAATCACTTGTCTTTTTTTTTAATGGAATGGAAAAGCAATATCACCTTCTAAAACTTTCAAAAAATAATTAATTAATTTCGAGCTATATCAAAGATTTGATACCGAAAACTTATATTTCATCTAAATTTAAACACTAAATGATGAAATCTTAACTAAATATGAGGGGATTGATATTTTTCATACTGAAATTGAAACGAATGTTTTGGCGTCCAAGCACTAAATAATGAAATCTTATCCATTAGTTTTCTTATTGCAGGCAAATTGGATCACAGCAACATCTTCTGCTCACAAATCATTTTTGTTCTAATCCCTTGAATTGACTTTGACGTTAAGAATATCATCCAATCTTCACAAGTCAATACTATATTTTCTTTCCTTTTCAAGTCTTAAACAGATATATCATCCATTGATGCATTAACCTAGAAATTATTTTCATGCTGGTTTCCAGGATGATAACATGAAAAAAACACACACTTGCAGACCATGCTAAGCTTCAAATGATAAGATTCCAATTCCTTGAAAACGACCCGTAAGTGAGGGTGAAATCAGTCGTAGGATCATACCAAACTCTTGGGACATTTTACTTTTTTAACTCATTAGAAGGTTTATTAGATCGGTCTGAAAAATTTTATAATACACAAGAAATAACTAATGATAAATACAATAGTTATTTTTTGGATTCACTTTGAGAAAAAAGATAAACACATAAAAAAAATTAAATCTATACCGACCAAAAGTGATAAGAAAATTTTGACGTCCGTTCAAATTTTTTTATTTTATCTTTTTTATTTTTCTTTCTCTCTTTTTATGTGTCTATCTCTTTTTTCAAAATGAGTTCAAAAATACCTATTGTATACGTTACTTAGCTACTCCTTATGTATTATAAAATTTTTCAATCTTAAAAAAGCATTACCTGAGATAACGAACAAAAAACTATCAAAATCTGTCTCACAACACAATTATAATTATTTTTTTTTAGACGATACACACCCTCCACAAATATTTCTAATGGAACACATCAACTTAAGACATTAAAAAAGTAGAGAGAGAAGATAAATAAAAAATAAAAAGTTGATTTCAGCAACCATTAACCCGAAAATAAAATGGCATCGTCTCTTTAAAAAAAAAAAACTCAATTATCATCCACTTGTTTCTCCTCTTCTTCTTTTACCTCTACACCTGCCTCTGCACTCTTCCTCTTTTTCTTCTTCTTCCTCTTTTCTTCTTCTTTAATTTCAGTTTTGTCCACGACTTCGCCCCCATTCTCTTCAAGCCCCATCTTTTCCTTCTTTATTTCATTGCTTCTCTCAGTTTCCTCTGCCACACCACCCTTCTTCTTCCTCCTCTTTCTATTCTTTCTCTCTGTCTCCTCCTCTCCCACATTACCCTCTTCCTTGAGCTCCTTTTTCAACCTCTGCTCATTATTATTCACCCACTCAAATTGGTTCAGCTCCATGATCTGCGTCGAAACTAAATCTTTTTCATGTTTCCGGCCACCGGATTTTGACTTTGTGTGAAGGCATGCCAATTCATCGAAAGCGGCGGTGGCGCGACGAAGTTAAGCGTTGACGGCCTGGGAAGCGCCGGTCTCGGAGGAAACGAACTTGGAGAGTATGGAGGCAGCTTTGGCGATTGTCACCGGAGATGAATCTATGATTTTGCCAGCCACCGTCTTCGTGTTTTCAGGGTTTTAAGGATTTAGAAAGAAACTGCCCGTTAGTTAATGATATATATTACGAGGAGCGGTTTTATTCAGCTGTTTACCTTGGGCTCCAGCTGGGTTATGGAGCTTTCTAACCAATTTTGGCCCGTAAAGTGGATTGATTTATTAATTTCCAAATTGTATAAGCACAGGCATCGGATGCACGTGGTGCTTTTTCAGCTTTGTTGCGTTTCACATTTCCTTATTCCGCTTTTATTTTATTTTATTTTTTTAATTTATTTATCGTATGCCACTGGAAGTGGAAACAGACTATGGGGAAAAAAATAGAAAACTAAATGATGGACTAAGTTTAATCAGAAATATTTTTATTTTTTTAAAAAAATAGAACTCAAATTTGATATGATAGAAAGGCATTTTAGAAAAATAAAAATAAAAAAGACTAACATACCATAACAATTAATTTTAAAAAAAATTGTATGAAATGTTAAAGTGGACTAACACTTTGGGACAGAGGGAATATGAAGTATTAATATTTTAGGCTTGAAATATTTAAAGAGGATTATTAAGTACACAAAATTCTCTTATTCCAATTTATTATTATATAGTTTTCATAAATTCCACATGCATGAGTTTATTTTGTACGTACTGGTGTTAGAAAAATTAACTTATTTTAAATGAATTTTTTAATTAAAAACATAAATGGAGTTTGGTTTAGTAGCTGTATTCATAATATAATTATATATATATATTTTTTAAATGAAATAAAATAAATATAAAAAGAGCTAGTTTGAATATCGAAACGGTGAAAGGATGATTGAATTGTGCTAGAATTAAATTTCAGTAAACATGTTAGGTTTTAAGGTCTTAATTATGGCCTCTTACATGAAAACCATTTGTACTCCAGAGATGAAATTTATCGTGCATGAGCACTCTGTCTATAACAACAGACTAAATTTGTGTGAATTTGAAATGTGAATTTTGTGTTAGGTTCGTAAATGGGCTTTGGTATCCTATCCTGTATTAAGGAGCCCGTGAATGCGTAAGTGGGCCATCCTTGATGAGAAAGTAAGCCCATCGACGAGCAGCCCACTTTGCAGTTGGTATCCATCAAGTCCAAGGTATGGTTGTTCAAAAAACTTCTTTTCCGTCCTTTCCGTCCTTTCATTCCTTCCTAAAATAGTAAACAAACTACTTCTAGCTCGCGCTTCGAGGTAAATCAATCTGAATCAAATTATTTTAATTTGATATTATACTATAATACGGTTTTATTAAAATATACTAAATAAAAAAAATTAATTTTTAATTTTTTAATTAAAATCTTATATTTAATTAATTTTTTTTATTATTATAAATTTTCAACTGAAAAAAACATGATTTGTTATTTTGAATATAACACATGTAAAATACATTTTTTTAATTGATTGTTTAAAAAAATATTTGAAATCCGTACATATTCAATTGATTGAGTATTAAATAGATTATTATATGGATAGAGAATTTGGTGACGAAATTATAATATGAAAAACAATCCAATTTATCACTAAAATTAATATTTAAAAGTTGAGAGAAATTTATGATTATTGACAGTTATAGTCTTTAATATGATTATAAAAATTAAGCTAATGTTAGTATTTTTTTTTTTTTTAATTGATGCATACAAACATACTTGAGAATAGCACTTAATTGTGATCCATAGCGGATGAGATGACAGTTAGTTTTTTTTTTTTTTTTTTTGGATTTGTGAACTTTTCAGTTGTTTTAATTAATTTTTAGGTAGATAACTTGACATTACAGCAATTAATTTGAGATGGGATTAGCATTACCCTTTGAAAACGTGTATTTGCCATACTCTTTGACAAATGAATTTCGATTTTTTTTTAATTGGGGTTCTCAAATTCAATGATAAAACAAAAATAATTGTTAGAAAGTAAGAAAAGTCACTGTCATTCCCTGGAAAATATGCAGTCCAAAATCTTAATTTGAAAAATATGTATATAAAATGTAAAATCTGGACTAATGCTAAAACCTTATTCAATTTTGTTTTTTAAGAAAAAAAACCATACAATAAAAGAGTACCTTTAGAAAATTCCATAAAATCCCATGCTTGAAATTTTTTCAGGAAATGAATGAAAAAAAAATATTTCAAATTAATTTTTGTGAATTGATAACTAAATATTTAGACAATATAGCATGGCATAGCTTCCTCTTTAGTCACATCAATTCATTTTTAGCACTTGCAAGCAAATTTAGCTAAAACTTGTCATGAATTGAATGCATTAGTTGAAAAATATACCTTCCAAAGCATAAACAGAAGAAGTTTTTTTTAAAAAAAAAACCTTCAAAATTCAAAACATCAACGATTGTCGTTACTCGACGTCGGACGAGACTCTCGAAAAATCCAAAATTTAGGGATTTGCATCGCAGCTTATGAGTTATTCCGAAGATGCAAGTTATTATTTAGTTTTGAGTCACCACCTAGTATTAAAAGAACCAAGAACCTAAAAATAACACAGGTGTAGAGATTTTTGAATAAAGAGTTGGTTATGTTTTGAAAAGATATCGATTACCCAAAGACGTCATTTCTTAAAAAAAGTACTATATTTAGTTTGGTCCTAAATTTATCTCCTAAAATATTTTATTTTATGTCAACTTATTATCGAATTGAACTCCAATTTTCAAGTTAAATTAAGTTTTTTTTTTTTTTTTCGTTTTTGGGCATGACATCGTATTGAAAAGATCGTTGATGCCCTTCATCGAGCAAGACGTAGGTTTAAACAAGTGGATCCACTTTAAGCCTCGACACAACCGATGTGTCGGAGAACATCCTAATTATTAAATATTGATTTTTTGCCAACAACGATTACTATCGGATATGAGATTTTGTTAAGAATTTTTGTTTTCTATTTTTTATTTGGCAACGACAGTTTCTATTAGACAAAAGACTTCGTTAAGAATTTTATTTTTTTCTTTTTATTTATTATTTATTATTTGTTTGATAAAAAAATCATCACCAGACTTTTAAAAATTAGAATACTCGACGATTGATTTATCAAGTAATTATCTAATCTAAATACTATAATAAAAATTCTAAAATTTAAAGTTAATTAAAAAAAGACATCTAAGTAAAATTAAATCTTTAATAGTTGAAATAAAATGCATTGGTGGACAAAAATAAGCATGTTTGAATCATCTAAAAATAAAATATCAGAGCTAAAAATCTATTGGGCCTCTGGCCCATTGGGCTAGACCCATTAAACTTTCTAATTATCCTTCTTTTCTTTTTCTTCTTTTTTTTTCCAACTAGATTAATTCCAGTTTTTATTACATTTGATTTTTTTCCTCTTCTTTTTCTTCTTTTTGGTACATTTCGTTAATATATATAAATATATCTTATGTATGTAGGTCGGTATGTGTGTGTGTGTGGTGTGTGTTGGGGGGAGGAGTGGTGGGGTTGGTTTAGGAGTGGAGGCTGGACTGAAACCAGCTTCTGCCCAGTTTTTTTTTTTTAATTGGATTAAAGGCTTGGCTAGGCTGAAATTAGTCCAGCCTTTCACTCCGTATGGGTTGGGCTCATTCATTTTTTCAAAGGCCTGGAATAAGTCCACAAACAAGGCCAGAAAATTTTTCTTTTCAGTTTTGGATAAAAACAAACTTCTGACCCACTCTCTCTCCTGTTCTTCAAATTTTCTTTTTGTTCTTCATTTCCTCTCTCTTCCTTACGTTCTCCAGAAATCAACTCTTGGTTTTGGACCAAAAGTTAGAAACAAATAGTTTCTAGATTTGACTTGAATAATAGACATACAACAATCCCAAACCATAAAGCAATCTCTGCAAAAAGTTGCAAATCCGAGTATGAAATCAACACAAACACAAATGAACAACGTGGATGTCGCCAGCATCTCAAAAGGCATTTCCTATCAACATGTTCCCAAGTAAATTCAGTGCGAAATTCTTACAACTCATGCATTTGTAACCAAGGGAAAATCAGTAAACATAATCAGAATTGGCTACAAAAAGTTCAGGTCACAAAAAAATAGTTTAGCCAGAGCAACAACTTACATAATGAAGTTTGTCATCATAAAGTCTTGAACAAACTTACGAGGCAGGAAATGTTTATTAGCTGATAAAAATTGCTAGGTTATTACGTGTTTTTAATAAACCTATGCCTTAAGAATTCATTTGATTTATTCATCAAAAGGCAAATTTTTGGCTAGGAAGTAGAGATACATATCAAATTCGTAACTTCTCACTGCAATACAAGAATCTCCAAAGAATGTTCTTCTGTGAAAACTAAAACAAACCAAAATCAACTAGTGCAAAGAAATAAACAGGCTGGCCATATGCCAAAAATTAAAATAACTCTTTCCAATGCAAATATTATTGCTTCCTGCAGAAAGCTTCAGTGAAATAGAGAGATAATCACTATTCAACTTCAGTGCAATACAGTTGTTGAATGTCGAGGGAAAGACAATTGATTCAGGGGTTACAATGCTTTACAGGAGCGCTAAACCAAACTGCTAACAAACTTTCAATTTGAAATCTTGCTAAAGAGGATCTGTGCACCGTATTGAGGCTGCAAGCTTATAAAAAACATTGGAGCATGGACATACGTTGGCGACACTACAAAAGAATAGTCTTTCATGATCATGGCTAGGACAATTTTTGCCTCAAAGATAGTTAAATTTTGACTGGGGCCTAAACCAAATGGCAAAAATGTAGCTAAGTGTTTGCGAGACTCATTAAATCTCATGGGATTGAACTCATTGGGATCATCTCCCCACAGATCAGTGTCATGGTGGACAGCAGCCAAGGGTATAGACACTTGTGTTCCAGCAGGAAGACAAGGTTCCCCAGTTTAACCTTTTCGGATGTTTGTCTCCCCAATGTTGCAGCTGGAGCATATAGTCAAAGCTTTTCATTGATTATCAAGCTCACCTGTTAGAAACGAAACACTAAAATCAAATACTTGACAAGCAATATCTCATGTAAAACATAGGAAACTCATTTTCTTTATATTTTAGAACAAGATGATTACGGAAAGGAACTTACTATCTTTAGATGACTTAAATTCTCTGCATCAAGAGCCTCATTCCCTCCATAGACATGACAGATTTCTTCACGTGCTTTGTTTTGCCATTCTTGATGCAATGCTAGAAGGAGAAGGGCCCAGGTCAAAACGTTGGCAGTAGTTTCCTTTCCAGCAAAGTAAAAGGTCTTGCATTCATCTATAACCTCCTCAGCCCCTAATGTATCTTCCTTGCCATCCTGATTTTTATATGAAGACATAAGTAAACTCAGTAGATTTGTTGAGTTTTCTCTTGCTCCGCTGTTAGTCTCTATCAGTTTCTTTATTGCTTCACGAGTTTCTGCAGCTAGTCTCCATCGCTCTCTGTTATTCTTAGTAGGCAAGAACCTGCATGTAAAAGAAGCCTGAAATCACAACCATTTCTCCAAAATCAAGAACTAATTATCCCAAAAAGTTCCATATATGCAAATTTGAACACTATTCAACTAGCAAAATAAAACACTTCCAGCTGATACTAGCACAAAGGGCCTCAAGGCAAATGGGATTGAACTGGCAGGACAGGACTAGACAGAACAAGCTGTCCCATGACAGAAATTCGGATATGGAAGGTATGGAATGAGACAAAAACTGCTTTCTGTGCACAAAACAACAGTGTAAATGAAGCTATAAAAAGAATAGGTTTCTTTGTCTTTGCCACTTCAATTTAGCCAATTAGAATTCAATGAACATAAGTTAAATTCTGACCAAAGTTGGAAGAAAATAATTACCTGAACCCTGGAATGCATACACTTCTCAAAGCTTGAGAGACAAGATCCATTTGTTGTTCCTGTAATCTAAATATACTCTTTATCTTCTTCATAACTGCTTCCAAATGCTGTTCTGGATATGATCTCAGCTGAAAGGTCATGAAGTTCTTTATGTACATCCAACTCAAACTCCTCTCTCCCTCCTCTCATTTCCTCCCACTTCCTTAATATATCTGTGGTGCTTGCTACAATATCTGGTACCCAGCTCTGCGGAAAAAGAAAATGGTTCAGGAGTTTTTACGCAATCTGACTTTCCACATCAAAACTTGCATTAGAACAGATTGAAAAAGATTTTTTACATGCCTGGATGTAAGTGTAACTAGCGATCCTTAATTCAGGCAAGCTGCACATATTTTTTGCTCGGGTGGGTGATTATGATTGTGTGGGGTGCCTGTTTCCTTTTGTTATGCAGAAGGAGTGCAGGACACAATATAGATAAGGGGTAATGTTAACATTTGAACAAGGGATAACTTATCATTTCCTTCGGCCTAAAGATTTCGTTTCCCATACAAAACTAAAGATAAAGAGTAAGCTGAAGTTCTTGCTTCTCCATTAGTTGTTGTACTAATCTTAACAACCTATGTCTACACACACACACACACACACACACACACACACACACTCCCAAAACAAATTCTATGGTAAACTAAGAGAAATGAAGAAAATAAAAAGAAACCATTTTACAATCAAAACTCAAGATTCGAAATTTCGTAAAAAACAGTAAATTCAACAAATACAAATACCATCAAAACTTAATAATTGAATCACCATGTCAGTAGATCATTAAACATTAACAGTAATTCGTTTATGACAATAATATAGATTCATATTAGCAGTTACGTAGGAGCAGAAACTTCATCCACTTGTTTTCTCCTCTTCTTTTTCCTTCGGCCTTCATCCTCCGATCCATCCTTCCCTTCCTTCCCCTCCTCCTTTACCTCTACATCTGCCTCTGCACTCTTCCTCTTTTTCTTCTTCTTCTTTTCGTCTTCCTCTCCCTTTTGCTCTTTAATTTCAGTTTTGTCCACTACTTCACCCCCATTCTCTTCAAGCTCTATCTTTTCCTTCTTTATTTCATTGCTTCTCTCAGTTTCCTCTGCCACACCACCCTTCTTCTTCTTCCTCTTTTTATTCTTTCTCTCCGTCTCCTCCTCTCCCACGTTACCCTCTTCCTTGAGCTCCTTTTTCAACCTCTGCTCATTATTATTCACCAACTCAGATTGGCTCAGCTCCATAATCTGAGTCGAAACTAAATCCTTTTTATGTTTCCGGAGAACGGATTTTGGCTTTGAGTGAAGGCGTGCCAACTCATCGAAAGCGGCAGTGGCGCGACGAAGGTAAGCGTTGACGGCCTGGGAAGCGCCGGTCTCGGAAGAAACGAACTTGGAGAGTATAGAGGCGGCTTTGGCGATTGTCACCGGAGATGAGTCTATGATTTTGCCGGTCACCGTCTTCATGTTTTAGGGTTTTAACGATTTACTAGAAAACTTCCTGTTAGTTAATTATTTATATCACGAGGAGCAGTTTTATTCAGCTGATTGCCTTGGGCTCATTGGGCCTTCTAACCAAATTCGGCCTGTAAAGTTGGGGCCAGGTCTGTCACAAATTAGTCCCTCAAATTAGCTGAAAATGATTCATTAGTTAAAAGCAACTGAAAAGGGCAGAGCCCAGTATAAATGGAGCAAAGCAAAAGGGCTTTAGCCCACGAACAAAAGGCACTCCCAATATCCAGAATAAATCATAAATTAGTCCTTGAAACAAATTAATTAGTCCCTCGTTTTTAAGAAATAGAAAAGGATAGAAGATAAATAGATATTATGTAAATAATATAATAAAAGAAATTATTTTGAAATAAAATAATACTGAATTAAGTATGGTTAACACTTAAAACTAAATAATTATTTTTTGAAAAAAAATTAATTAATTCGTTTTTCAAAATGAAAAAGACTAATTTCTTCTCAATATCCTCAAAAACAAACAAACCAACATGTCCCTAAATTTTTGTAAATCTGGTGTAAAAAAAAAACCTGGGTGGATGAACTTTTAAACAACCAAATTTGATGGGGCGGTTGACTTTTGTGATATGAAAATTGAATTCTTCATACGGTCAAACACATCCCTACATTTTCTTTTTTAAGGGAGATCTATTAATGCCAGTTCAGCTACAGTTCATTCTCATGTCTAAGGTTTTTTTTCTTTTCTTTTTTTAAATGTTAGAAAGGATAGACGTATTCGGGCGGGCGGGCGGGCTGTTGGGGGGTGGGGGGTGGGGGCGGGCTGGGACCTGGGTGGATAAACTTTTAAAACAAATTAACAAATTAGATGGGGTAATTGAATTTTGGTGCTGTAAAAATTGAATTCCTCGTGCCGGGGTGATCTGATTCCTCGAGGGGTTCCATGTCCAATGCCTTGAATGAACGGTCTGGTTCTGTTAGTTTCCAACCCACGCAAAGGTTGTCTCCTCTTTATCTTCTCATACAAATTTGGTTTGCTATTTTTTTTTTTTTTTTTTTGTGTACAATAGTTTTTTTACTTTTACTTGAAAATTCAAAAACAGTATAAATTACTTGGATTTTTAATGGAAAAGCAATATCACCATCTAAAACTTCAAAAAAAATAATTAATTAATTTCGAGCTATATCAAAGATTTGATAACGAAAGTTATATTTCATCTAAATTTAAACACTACATGATGAAATCTTAACCAAATATGAGGGGATTGATATTTTTCATACTGAAATTGAAACTAACGTTTTGGGGTTCCAAGCATTAAACCCCTTATCCATTAGTTTCTCATCGCAGGAAAATTGGATCACAGCAACATCTTCTGCTCACAAATCATTTTTGTTCCAATCCCTTGAACTGACTTTGACGTTTAGAATATCATCCAATTTTCACAAATCAATACTAAAAAGTCTTCCCTTTTCAAGCCTTAAACAGATCATTTAGGCTAGAAATTATTTTCATGCTGGTTTCCTGGATGATAACATGAAAAAAATACTCACTTACAGACCACACTAAGCTGCAAATGATAGATTCCGATTCCTAGAAAACGACCTGTAAGTGAGGGTGAAATCAGTCTATTGGATCATACCGAACCCCTGTGACATTTTTTTAAGGTTTATTGGATCTTGGAAAATAAAAGAGAATTGCCTGAGACAAACAAAAAACAGCTTTACCAAAAGTTTTCAAGTGACTGTATTCTAACACAACTAGATTGTTTTTTTCAGACCATATACACTGTCCGCAAAGATTTCTGATCGAACAGATCAACTTAACCGCAAAAATAAAATGTTTCCTGCGATCGGATTTTGACTCTGTGTGAACCCGTGCCAACTCATCGAAAGCGGCGGTAGCGCGACGAAGGTAACCGTTGAGTGCCTGGGAAGCGCCGGTCTCGGAGGAAACGAACTTGGAGAGTATAGAGGCATTTTTGGCAATTGTCACCGGAGACGAGTATGATTTTGCCGGTCACCGTCATGTTTTTAGGGTTTTAAGATTTGCTGAAAAACTGGCCGTTAATGATCATATGAGGAGCCGTTTTACTCGGCTGTTTCCCTTGGGCTCCAGCTGGGTTGTTGGGCCTGTTTTCCTTGGGCTCCAGCTGGGTCTAACCAATTTGGGGCCAGGTCTAGAAGAAAATGTGGAAATGTATATAATAAATGTTACAAATAAATGAATTTGAACGAGCGGTCTCAATTGCACATGAGCCATGAGTTTATTTTTTATGGTTGTTTTTGGAGGAACGTATGCTTATGCATGCTGGTCCTGCTAGAATGATTGAGCTTGGGATAGACTTCTCGTGATCTAAACCTATGATAATTTATTTAAGAACGTGAAAAAAGAAAATTTAAGCTCGATTTACTCATAAATTATACTTAAAAACATCTTTTATCACCGAACGACGGAAGAAATAAAATAAATATATGAACCCAGAACCAGAGATAATTTATAAATTAGTAGATTGTTTTTTTTTTTCAATGGAACAAATAAAGAAAACAGTACCTGCGTAATTTAGCTCTTGGTGTGTAGACTTGAATTATCAATCTGTTGTTGTCGTCTTCGTCCATGCTCCATTGACGAGACTGTCATAGCTCGACAACCCTACGAATTTGAGGTTTTGGAAGTTCCCTTACAAGTTAGTACTGCCAGTGGTACTTCATTTTCTTTTAGCATATTTAGAAGAAGAAATCTTGATCCTACATTTTTCGGTGGAATTATATCTATAAATGATTTTTATTAAATCATATACCCACTGCAACTTCTAACGAACTAGAATTCATTGAAAAGTTTGTGGAAAAAACGACTTTTTAAAATTTTTCGGCCATAAAACTCAACTAATGCGTTATTTTTGTTTCAAAACATTTTAAAACTATTAAAATAAGATTAAAAAAAAACATGTTTGAAACCTTAAAACCTTTTTTCTAATGAATATATATATATATAAAAACTCATAATGTTTTAAGGTATAAATCTACATTCTTCAATTATTTTTATACTTTGTAATTATCATAGACAAACTCAGCTCTCCAAGATAAGCAAATTGAATAAAACATTGAAAGTAGTCAAAATAAGTCCAACTAATTTTCTCTCTTATCCCTATATTTAGGGACTAAAGTGTATTACAAATGAAGTTGTGGATCTAAATAAAAATAGAAGTATCTTGGACCAAAATGCAAATTTTTATATAATTCAATATAATTGCCTAAAAAATAGTGGAAAAATTACAAAAACAGATTGTTTAAATCCACATGCACATAAGTCTTAAGCTACAATTGATGAACAGTAAATATCCTAAATCTTTTTAGTTTTTAGTTTTTTTTGTAATGTTTTATCCTTTTTGTTCATTTTTTTAAAATAAAATATGCAGATAACATTTTGTTTGTTTTTTTATTAAAAAAATACTCTAAAAATTTGAAATTTATCAATTCAATTATTTCCATTTTTTAATTTTTTTTTAAAAAAGCAACTTTTTTGATATAATAATTTCCATTTTTTTTTCAAAAAAAAAAATCAAAGCTATCAATTCATTTTTTTTTTTAGTGCAATGGAAATCCTTTGGATCAAATTGAATAGCGCACTCAAACCAAACGCCCAATTTTTGCGTTTAAAACAATAGAAGTTCTGTTTGATAATAATAATAATAATATAGCATGATATTAATTAATGATGAAATAAGGGGACAAGAAAGCAATCTAAGACTAATGGAACGCTCCTCGAATGAAATCATGACTTAATTGCAAATGACAAACATACGTATCCAGTAGGAAGATAAATATTTTCAAAAGATTTATCAAATAATCCACCGACAAAACAAAAACATCATCGTAATCTTGCCGCTAATCTTGTCAGGAAAAAGAAATGAAAGTGGCTATTTTGTCAAACCATGTTAAATAATGATTCCTAATTGTTATTATTTGGATGAAGGGAAATGAAGGGAGAAAAAAGAAACAACGGGTTAGGTTGTCTTCTTGGCAAAAAGCTTGTGCCTTGAAAATGATATTTGCGCAGTCAAGAAACCTTTTGAAACTCTAGAGGTAGATGTTGACCTCATCAACCTTTGACGTTTTTTAACCAACCATAATTTTTTAAAGAAAAATCCAATAAGGTAAGTTTGAACGAATGATTCTAATAGTTAAATTAAGGAGTTTCGAGTTTGAATTATTATGTATATAAAAAATTAATTTGATAGTTATGCTCACTTATAATTATTAGAGAATAACGAAAAATTAATCTAGGATTTTTTATTAAAAAAAATAGAGCAAAGAAATATAGCGGTTTAATTTGATTTTGAGCCTTTTTTTTTAATCCTTAAGCAAATAATGAAGAGTAAAATAATGTCTTAATTGGGATCAAAGTTGGTGAAAGAAATTGATCTGTTGAAGTTGGTAGAATATGATCGTAAAAACAATAAAATTTAACTTAAAAATGTTAATCTCGAGGAAAGTTTGATCTAAAATAAATAAATGAATCGAATCTACAATTAATTTCATATATTTAAAAAGTTAACTTTGGAACGTGTAGAATCGGTACAGTGAGAGTAATGCTATACAAATAATTTTTTCATACAAAATTCTCATATAAATAAATATGATTTTTTTTTTTATGAAAGATCAATTTTTTATTTTTAATAGAACCTATATTTTATCATTTATCAGTTAAAATAACAACGGAAGGAAATTTTAATTTGAAAATTTTATTTTAAAATAAATGTTTATAAATGTAACCCAATTCGAGGATTCAAGATAATTTTAATTTTAATTTTTTTTTCAAGAATAAGGATGCAGGAGACTTGCTATGCTTGACAAGAGCCATGAAGGGTAAATTATAAATCACTCTTTTTAGTTCATTCTAAAAATGAATTAATTACTATTTCATGTTTCAAAAACTAATTATTTAGTTTTTTATATTTTATGTTATTTTTTAATTATTTTTAAAAATAAATAAACAGTGTGGAAATATCGATGTGTAAAAAATACTTTTCTTTAATCAAGTAATATTAAATTAAAAACGATATATCAATACTGAATTAGTTTTTGAAACGAGATAGATTGAGTAATTTATTTATCAAAACTAAACGAGCTAGTTTATAAATTTACTGGAGCCATTTACCTACATCTAAGTTTGAGATTATTTTTTTTTTTTTTTTATATATAGATTCATTTAAGCTCTAGTTACAAAAATATTAACGAAGACAGGTACAATGAAGAAACATTGACAAGTCGAGTCTGCTTGTACATGTGTTATTGTAATGGATTTCAATATCCTTAATAAATAAGATCCATGCAAATTTCAAGATTTGCTGTCTTTTTCATTCGACTAAGACATAAGGAATCCATTATTTCTGCCACGATTTCCGCTGGCTTGGCTTCACTATGGTAAAGACTCTAAACCATGTCAAGCCTTCTCTGTCAATGATAACTGACGAACAATAAATTCAATTCCAAAACCAATAAACTAATTTAATATTTTTCTGTCTTGAAAAATGTTTTTTTTTCGTTTTTCATATAAATTTAAAATTTATTTATTATTGTGTCATATCAATATTTTTTTTATATATTTTTAAAAATATATACGTTTTTAATTATATTTAGATATTTTTTTACAAAATATACTTTAATTAAAATTATTTAAAAAAATATATATCATTTAAAAATTTGACTAGACAACCATTTTATGATAGATATAAATAAATAAATAAACAGATAATTTTTTAAATGAGCATTTTAAATGACTAGACAACCATTTTAATCAATTATTTTTATGCTTTTCAAATGAGTATTTTATTTGTCAAAATATATTATTATAATTTATAAATTTTGATATATATATATATATATATATATATATATATATATATAAGAGAGAGAGAGAGAGAGAGAGAGAGAGAGAGAGAGAGAGAGAGAGAGAGAGAGAGAGAGAGAGAGAGAGAGAGAGAGTATGTTTTAGATAGTTTGACTTAATCGGATAAGTTAAAAATTTTAACTTATCCGATTAAGTAAATTTTAACTAAACTTAAAGTTTTAATATGAGATCATTTAAGTTATCAAACAAGATTTTTATATTAAGTAGTACAACTTAATTTTTTAAATTACTTAATTAGGTTATCAAACAAGAAAGAAATTGTAACTTATTACACGAGAAAAAAATAGATAAAACTCATTTAAAAATAATGATGATAATAATGTTTCAAATATCAAATATTTTCTTCACGTGTGTTAACAACAACTCACTGAAATTTTGGAATAAGGATTGCTCAAAATGAGACATTTTTTTCGACATCAGACACACAATGGAGTTTAGCACCATTACAAATTAATGAAAGAACGAGCTATCCTATCAGACCATATTGATGAAAAATCTCGACCATTTAAAATTATCGGAGAGCAACAATTTCTCTCAATCAACAATAAACTCTCATGCAACCTAACAAAAGGGTATCAAAACTTATTATAATGACAAAATATCATATTAAAATAGAAACTTTATGCATAGATATAAAATCTGGATCTAAATTGTTAACATGCAAAAAAAAAAAAAAGGAATTAGGGAGATGAAACATTGTCGCCCGTTATTATTTTTTTCCCAAGAGAAAATCAAGAAGAAGAAGAGAGGAATGGCTCTTTGTTATTAAAGGAGCAATTAAACTTTATGTCTATAATCATGATTTGAAAAAATATAAACATTAATAATAAGTTATGGGTTCAATTATAAATGAACTGGTTTCAAATAAATTTTCTCGTCAATATACGGGATTCAAATTTTAAAATCACGTTTATCAAGATAGGTTAAATCATATTGTTTTTATTTTGAATATAATTATGCTTATCTTCAGCGTGTGATGAGAATATTTGCACAAAAAAAAAAAAAAAGCATGAACATTTAATAATAACAACTTATCAATACTTAAATCATAAAATCTAAAATCACGATTTAAAAGAAAGGGACAATTTGTCGATTGCTATTGATGAAAACTAGAGACACCCTAAATCGAAATCATTTTAGAGGAGTACTAAAATAAAACTACTAGAAGCCAATTTCCAAGATCTAAGTTAAGCCTAACGCAAATACACACAGCATCTTGAAAAATTATCAAATATACTTACCTTTTCAGTTATCATCCACAAACTAGTTACATATTATATATTTGCAAATTACATGTTTATCCAAATTTTTTTAATTTATAAATGACTCTATAGATTAAGTTTCAGCTAATTACATTTTTAGTTTACCAACTTATTACTTTTTTCTAATCAAGAGTGTACTTTTTAATCTTTGTTATTTGAATAGATTAAGTTGCAATATTTTTTCAATCATGTATTTTCATTAACTTCTGTTATTTTTATGCTAACGTGACCGTTAAACATACACTTGGCACTAATATGTGAGCTCATTATCAGTTTTTTTTTTTTGTACAAACTTATTAATTTTTTATATTTAAGTATGTAAATTTTGATCTTTACTATTTGAGTATATCAATTTGCAATTTTTTTTTCTACTTGAGCAATTATGCTAATTTAAGATTGACATATTCGTTAACCACACATGTAAAACCCCGATGTAAGCTCCATTATTAAATGTTTGTGTTCAAAAAAATTGTCACTACAAAAAATAAGAATGTATCAACCAATAAATATATAAAATTAAATAAGAAAATTTTCTAATCAACCCATTTTATCCAACCTAAATTCAAGCCATCATTAACTCTAAATTAAAATTTAATTTCACATCATCATCTAACAAACAACCACTATTTTTATCTTTTTTACTGAAAATGAGAATGAATCATTATTTTGGTAAATGCGCATAACTAAAATTGTATGTTTTAATTTTGAATCATTCCCTAGCACCTGAATACTTTAAAGTGATTTGTTTGTTTTTTTAAAAAATATTTTTATGTAAATATCATAAATATCTTATTTCTATTATGTAATTTATTTATCTTATTGTTGCTATTTGAGAATGGGAGTGAATTATTATTATTATTATTATTTTATTTTTTTTCTGATTGTCACATGTCTCGACAATGGACTCACATGATGATTTTATGTGTGCAATTAGCATACATGTCAACCTAGAATTAATAAAATCATTAAATTAAAAAGAATTACAAGTTGGAACACTCAATTAACAAATTCCAAAGTTTTACACACTCAAAAGAAAAAAGTGATGAGGTTTACCAAAAAAAAAAAAAAAACTGACAATTGAGTTCATGTGTAGTTAATAGCCACGTTAGTATAAAATTAATGAAAGTTAAGGAAAATATTTGATTATAAAAAAAATTATAACTTGATCTACTTAAATAACAAAAATTAAAAAGTGCATACTATGATTAGAAAAAATTAACAAGTCAATAAACTAAAAATATAATTAACTGGATTAAGTTTGGGCGAGCTATATTTCACTTTTCATACATCTAATAATGTTCAGTTTGAATTCTTAAGTTTAATTTTTGTTGATGATAATTCTATAGTTTTTCAAAAAAATTTTAAAAATGACAATAGTCATCTTGAATTTTTTTTTATAAACCATATACCAACATGAAGAAATGTTAATCCATATATGTTAAACTCTAACATTAAGAATCGGCTAATTGATAAAACGATCCCATGAACTTTTGATAAAATCCAATTTAATCTCTTGGCTTTTTTTTTTTTTTTTGTTATTTCAATTTAACAAGTCCAAAATAATCCTCCAACTCTGTTAGATTTCTCTGGGCCTTCCACACTAATAGAAAAACAAAAGGCTATACTCAATTGTAGCTATTTTTTTTTTTTGACGTGATAACTTGAGATATCAAAATCAGAAAAATAAAAGTTCAATAGTTAAGTTGAATTTTATTAAAAATTTAGTAAATCGTTTTACCAATTAGCCTTAAGAATCCAAAATTAAGGGCCTAAAACATAATCTACCTATTAATTATCTCACCTAAACTTTTCATTATATGTTTTTTTTTTTTTTTAAAAAAAAAGGACTTTATTTATCGTGCAAGGTGTGACTTGTCGCCCAGTAACTATACATCATCGAGTAGGAATCAAACAAACAGAAAACCGCGTGGGTCCCACGTATGACTAAATCCTACCCTTCCCTCGTGGACTTTTGCGCGCACGGTGCCAGGGTCCTTTAAAGGGGCCCACCCTACGACCTAAAATCTGCTTTTTTACCAGAAGCTCCATCCTTCTAATTTTTGCTATATATGCGAACAGAACACGAACCAGTGATATAAAGGCACGTGTATAGAAAAAACACATGGCTAGTCTTTGAAGAGAGTGTAGATAACGAGCGTATGGGCAGGAGTATAATAGAAGATAAAGTGAATCGTATTAAGGACAAGTGGGATCCACTGTCAGAAACTTCCCACCTGAAAATGTAGAAACTGCTCTGACAGCGATTTCCCGCCAATATAAACACCCCCGTTCGTCACCGAAACTTTTTACTTTTCTTTTTTCTTTTATTTTTATTTTTTCCCTAAGGACGAATAAATACCGTGACTCAGAAAGTTAGATGGGTTTCGTTATTTAGTATGTTTTTGGCATTGCTTGCTCTTCAAAACAAAGGTGTTTTTAATTTTTTTTAATCTAAAAATAATATTTGATTAATATTTATTTTGTTTTGAAACCAAAACATGTGTTATTTTTTTTAAAAAAAAACTGATGTGTTTTGAAACAAAGGATACGCTCAATGGTTTATTATGGGATTTATTTAAAAATGTAAAATAATAACTTTCTTCCTTAATTGTTTTTTAAAATCATAAATTCCAAAAATGCTGAATCACTTTATTTTTGTTTCGTAATTACATTTCAATTTTTTATATCATTATTTCATGGAAACGATGTGTACTATGTATTATCTTTTTTTTAAGTTAAAAATTACTCAACAAAAAGTTAAATCATTTAATATAAATGAAATATAATTGTTAAACTTTTTTAGTATGTTGTAGTCTTTATTTTATATGTCAAAAACACAATAATATAATTTAATTAAATACTATTTAGCTGTTTTAAATATTTTTTAACACAACACAATAACTAGTTACCAAACATTGTTTTTATCTCATAATACAATAACGAACAATACAACAGCTACAATATATCGTAATACAATACATCAATGCTAAACCAGTCCTTAATTGTATTCTTTTGTATTTTAGTTATCATTAATGGATTGTTAAAAAAGAAAATCATAAATTATTCTTTAGTCTTCCATGTTTGAAAATTTTTAGCGTGGCCCTTGATTTTTTTACTAATCATCGTAGTCTTATTGTAATATCTTTGTCGGTTTTTTCTAAATCACTACCGTGTTTTAATAAAAAAAAGATCAACTAAAGTTAAGAACTTTCTATGTTTTTCTAGGGTAAAATATCTTACAAAAAATAATTAACTCATACATTTTTATTTACATCAACATTTGACTATTTCAATTATCACTATCTCCTCATCTCATCTCTATATTGTCCACGTCCCATCATCTTCATTGTAAATCTTCCAATTATATTGTAATCATCATCACCACCGTTACCACCTCGATTATCATAACTACAACCACTACAACATTCATCGTTATAACAAACAATTATCATAATCGTTGTTATTATCGTTGCAACCATCATTACCTATGTCTCATTACTATTATCGTTCTCCCGTTATTATATAGTTACCAAAGTTTTCATATCATTAACCAATCACAAAATATGTTCATGTTAAACATTATATATACGTGTGTGTGTTAAATATTTTATACATGACAAATACCTCATACTATTAAATTCTTTTTTCAATCCAATTTTAGAAAAGTCATTTATACATAAATCAGTGCATTTATAATTTATGAGATATATTTTTCTCACCTTATTTCTCTCAAATAAATTATATGTATTAGACATGTAGATGACTAGTGAGAGATTTTTTCAATCAAAATAACTATTAACTAGTAATTATTTGTATAAATATAGTTTTTTTCGCATGCGAATTATGCAATGACGGTGTTCACAACATTCTTCTCAATCAAATACAATGTATTTTTTATAGATTTTTTTTCATAAATAGGACCATGCGCCTCATAATCATTATTAAATATTAAAAAATTAAGAACATAAGAATAAGTGGTATTATAACAATAAGCTGAATTTACCACTACTATAAAAATAAAAAGCTAATCTTTATTTCTTTTAATAAGATTTTTTTATACTCAAATACTCTAAAAATATGATTTGAATCCATAATTTTTTACAAAGTATAAAAAACTCACTATCATTAGATCGAAGGTTGTTGAGTCTTTGACACGGATTGCTTCAAAGTTAATCTATGTTTTGATTAATTATAGGAACTCGCTTAACACACACATACATATATATAGTTTAGAGCATCTCCAACGGTGCTATTTATTTTAACCAAGTATTTTTTATGTAAATAAAGAGCATCATTAATTATATAAATTGAATATCAATATCCTCTCTAATGCTACTCTCTACTTAACTTTTTATTTTAACAAAATCTATAAAACTCATAAAGATTACTGGTGAAAAGATTGAATGGCATAAGAAATAGTAATTCTCATTAATGAAATATAAGATAAAAAGTCATTTTGACTCTCTAGTATTGGAGAGGTAAAGACACTCTCTATATCAATTTTTAAGATAGAAATTACGATAAAGAGAGTATCGAATATGTAATTTGGATTAAACCTCTTTATTATATAAAAAAATCTTAATATAAAAAGAATATTAGAGATGCTATTAATATACATAATTGTTATATATATAGCTTAGTAGACATAATTGTGTCTATAGTCTATACCTAATCATCCAATTCGGAATAGGTTCACTTTCATGTCACCTAGATTGCAAGTGGAATTTTGGATTTAGGATTCTTATCTGTCCAGTAATAAAGTCAAAATAAGAATAATTTATAGATATAATTCATTCGCAAAATGCCGGATCAAGATTTCTTCACGATATGCTAAAAGAATATGAAGTACCGCTGGTAGTACAAACTTGTAAGGGAACTTCCAAAACCTCAGATTCATAGGGCTGTCGAGCTATGTCAGGCTCTTGTGCAAGGGTTTGATAATTCAACTCTACGCACCAAGGGCTAAATTAGACAGGTGATTTTTTTTTTCCTAAAAAAAACAATATACGAATTTTTAAATTATCATTATTTATGTGTTCCTATATTTATTTTATTTTTTCATCGTTCCACGATAAAGAATATTTTAAGATATAATTTACGAATAAATCGAGATTAAATTTTCTTTTTTAACATTCTTAAATATGCATTTTTCACGGAATCCTCATATATTTTAAATATTGGTTTTTAAGATTCGAATTTAGTTTTGAAATCAATGCTTAAAATTTTCTCCATTGGAATTATAAAAAATGGTTTTTGACGTTGGAATTCTAAAAAATATATCATTGGAATAACAATTTTTTTAGATCATAATGACGAGGAAACTACTTAATTTGTTTTTGATAGATGAAAATGTGTGTTCTATGCTACTATTTCATTTTCTATTCACGGCCAATTGATCAATACCGACTACTCTTGTCTGTTCCTATTATTTTAAAATAGAAAACTGTCCTTTTCTAGTGATAATGTTAACATAAATTATTGATACTAGAGATAGAAATAGATGATTAATGAGATAGATCAGGTTTGTTGGAAATTAGGACTTCTTAACTAATAATTCTTGATTTAGGAATTTATCATACTTGGACTAATAATTGCTGATCTTTTGAATTTCGAAGGAAGTTTTTATGGTTATGTTTTGGAAGGTATATTTTCCAACAAATGCATTGAATTCATTACATGTTTTAGTTAAATTTACTCTCAAGTGCTAAAAATGAATTGATGTGACTGAAGAGGATGCTGTGCTATAAATATTTAGTTATCAATTTACAGAAAATTTATTGAAAGATTTTTTTCTCATTCACTCTAAATAAAAAATTCAAATATGGGATTTTATGGAATTAATTTTCTAACGATACTCATACATTGTATGATTTGTTTTTTTTTTTTTGAAAAAAAAATATTGAATAAGGATAGCATTACTCTAGATTTTATATATATTTATTTATTTATATTTGACTTAAGATTTTTGACTGCATATTTTCCTGGGAAAGACAGAGACTTTTCTTACTTTCTAACAATTATTTTTGTTTTCCCATTGAATCTGTAAATGTGTATACAAATAGACATTTTAAAAGGGTAATGCAAATCCCATCCCAAATTAATTGCTGTAATGCCAAGTTATCTAGCTAAAAATTAATTAAAACAACTGAAATATTCACAAATTAAAAAAAAAAAAAAACAAAACAAAAAACAATGTCGTCTCATCTGCTATTGATCACGAGTGCTATTCTCAAGTATGTTTGCATGCATCAAGATTAGCTTAATTTTTCTAATCAAATTAAAGACTGACCATCAACTATCATGAATTTCTAACAACTTTTAAATATTAATTTTAGTGATAAATTGGATTTTTTTCATACTATAATTTCGTCACGAGATTCTCCATCCATGTAATAATTTGTTTAATACTCGATCAAGTAGTTAATTTGACTTAATATATTAAAACTAGTTTAAAAATATTTTAATTATCATAAAACAAAAAAATGGAGCATGAATTTTTTGATTTTAGTGTGATGTTTGAGGTGGGAGTGATAAAATTTAATTATTTCGAATAATTATAATTTTAAAATTTAAATTCTATATATTGATAAAAAATTATATAAATATTAGTTCGTACATTACTGGATCGATGAGTTATTGGTAGGCTTAAATTTTTTGAATTATACGATACAAATCAAACTTGAAAAAATAGTTCTTCAAAAATCATGTTGAAATCACAAAACTGTGAAAGAGCTCAGGAGACATCTCTCTCTCAGTTTCTTGCATGGTTGGACATTAGCTGGCACAAATACAAGAAAACAAAAAGCAAACTAGTTTTTCAAGAGTGTTGTTTTCTTCAAACATTTATTAGTACTTCCAAAAACCTTTATAAAACCACTTTCGAAACCCCTTGTTAGCCTCCCTCTCCCCCTAACTTTTCACACTCCCTCTTCCTTCTCTTTCTCTCTCTTCCATAGTTTCAGCAACTCATCAAGCAGGCCATCCACTTTCTTCAAAGGTGTCGTTTTAGTCCTCTTTGAGCTCTGAAAATATGCTAAACTCATCATTTTGTTATTTTTCAGAACCCCCTTTCTTTTGGTGATTGTCTGTTAATTTTTGTGCTACTTTGTCAAAAAACAGAAAGAGCTCTGCTCGCTTGTTTACTGAAAGTAAAATTTTTAGCTTTCATACACACCAAAACAGACAAGTTCTAGTAAAAAGTTTCAGCTTTTAGAGAAAGAGAGAGAAAGAAGTCTTTTTCGGCTATTTGTTTTGTTGACAAAAACTGCAATTAAAGCCATTCTTGTTGGCTTTAGCTTAGCTTTTGTTGAATTTAGAGTTATTTTGGAGGTGGGTTTTCAAGGGTTTCCTCTATAAGGTTCAAAGATTTCATTTTGAGCTCCTCTGGCAATGCTGTCTCTAGTTTCTTGGTGAGTTCTCTGCGTTTCTCTCTTTATTATGCTTTTTTTTTTGTTTAACTTACTTTTTTGTTGAGCAGAGGTATCAAATATTTCATTTTGATCGAGTTAAGTGCTCTTAAAAGTTTGTTCCTTTCATGCACCAAACCATCTAATTATATTATTTTGTTTCTGTTTTTGTATTCAAAGTGCTATTTTTTTCTTTACTGGGTCTTTTAGATTTCCATTTTTTGTGATTCTTGAATGCATATATGGAATTTAGTTGTAGTAAGTAGTTATGCTGGTATTAAATATAAGTGGATGGAAGGGCCGATTATGTTTTTATTCATGCATGGTATGAATATTATGCTATCTGGTGGGTCCAGAAGAAATCTTCTATATTAAAATTGAGTTTGTTCCCTATCACATTCACAAGAACATTATAATACTATGTTCGTTTATGTCTTCATCCTTTGCTGATTGATTTTATCTGGTGCAATTTTTAACCATTCGATTAGTTTATCTGATTTGGGGTGACTAATCAAACGATGGATTCTTGCCATTTTTTTTTAAAGAATTGGTGGATGGTAAGGATTTTTTTAATTGCTTATGCGTGCTTTTTTTATTCTTTTTTTTAAAAAACAATAACCATTTGATTGCGTGTTTCATTGATTCATGGAACTGTTGTCTGTTTGCGTGCACCCAACTATTTAATTATGGAGATAATATTTGTTCACTCTGCGGGTGTATTTCTATAGATATGCTGATACATATATTATTATGTCACAAGCATCTAATTGAGGGTTAATCTCTGACCAGAACAGTGTATGTTTTCTTGTTTATGATAAACAAACATTAATAATGCATTGAATTTTCTCATTGCGTCGTGTGCCTTGTGTAAAATTTGTGGATAATTTAAGTCACAGTGAGAAGAACATTAAGCTCAATGGTAAGTCTATAATGGTTGTGTTCTATCTTGGAGGCTTCTTTTAATAATAATTGATCCGTTGGATGGTCAACCATATTGTCTGTTTCTATAGGCAGCTATTCTGCTATTAGTATCCGCGTAGATGTTTGATCCTTGTGTTCATCGGGGAAGGATGCCTTGAATGGTAGTCCTACTTCACACAAGATAAAGGAAACCATCCTCCTGATGCAGGCCTTTATTTTCAACCTCAAATCTGCTTTTTTAGGGACTTTCAATTGTTTCACTGTCTGTATTCCCTTCCATGAAAAGAAATAATAGTAAGTAGATAGTTCTGGGTCATTAATTGTTGGTCTTGACTTGGAAATTTCATTTCTAGACCTCGATCAGAGTTTTATATCTTCAATAATTTAGAAAAATGTGAAATTTCAACTATTGGCATAATAACTTTTGTATATAATTATAAATCCTATCTACAACTGTTCGTTGCCTGGTTTCTTGTCTGCAAAAGGCACATCTTTTCTATTTAAATCATGTCGAATGAAAAGGGTATCCTTGTGGGAAATAAGTATCAAATGACACTGTGCTATAATTATACATACAATGCTATTCAACATTTTGAAGGTGACAATCTCTGGCCGAGATTTCTAATGACAATTAACATGTAAGATAATTATGACTAGTCGATTTGATTGATATGCTCTTCTAATTTGGCCCTTTTGTGACCATCCGTGGCTAGTGAATGAGCTCAGATGATTATTATCTATCTCCTCCTTTTAGATTTTATGTTATTTTCCAGTGGCACTTCTAAAGTTTATGCAAACATCCTGTTAAAATTTCTTTATCTTTGATTTCACATGCTAATTTCTGTACTGTTTCTATGTAGGGAGAATAAGTAATAAGAGTACTAAAGATGATGGAAAACAAAAGAAGCCCTTGCTCAGTTGACCATGGCAGTCTCAATTCTCTTGCAACCAAAAGACACAAGGCTGATTTTTCCATGTCCACAAAGGTTTTTCTTTCCTCGCTTTTCCCTTTTTTCCTTTTGCACATATCTCCTGCTGTGAATACAGCTTTTTCCTCATTTCTTTGACATGTTTACCAAGAGTAATGGATGATGATGACTACCAACATTAACTAGAATTCTTGGCTAAGAAAGCCCAATCCAAAAAATACGCAGTCAGTTTATTGATACTCTGGATTGCCCTTTTCTATCTAAACCAATCTCCTCTTTTTGGTTCCCGTCAAACTTTTATTTCCTTACTGTCCTTGTCTGTCCTAAAGTCCTTATCCAAGTGTTAATTCTGCGGTTAGGCAAGCCATTCTCTGCGGGTGCGTAGTGCTTAGTTAACAATCTGGCTGGAGGTTGGAGTTACAACCTGACTTTCCTTCAGCAATAAGACTATTGTACATTGGAGCACGTTTTATACATGGAAGAAAGTGCTTTTGGAGTAAAAGTTTTAATCAAGCCTATACGAACTATGCTATTCTTATATACTGAAATCACATAGATGATAGTTCATAGTCTACTTTTGGTTAAAGGTATTTGCAAGGCAAAGGAGTTTGGTGCTTTAGGGATTTATTATAATGGTCATGAATGAAATTTTTATTCAAAGTAGGTCAAAATGCACCCAGAAGCAGATGGATTATCAGTCCTTGGTGCTGGTTCATTTCCTGCAAATCCATAGTCCCAGTGTTCTACATATTCCCTGTCCTTGTTGCTAAATTTCTATCTTCTCTTATAGGAACTGTATTGCTGGTCATTTTTTATCTACTGTGCTAGATTTAATGCTCATATTTTCTTCTATTTGTGTTTTGGCAATAGGAACGGAAAGAGAAGGTCGGGGAACGTATTGTAGCTCTGCAGCAGCTTGTTTCACCATATGGGAAGGTACATATGACTGCTTGTTTTTGTTAATAGGAAACTATGTTATAGCATGTATAGGCATTTACATTTTCATAATTGTGTAGATGGTCTCTCTGCCAATAAACCTCTCTTGAAGTTTGAGGGGGGAATTCATTCTATTATTTTGCCTTGCACGTATACTTTATCTATCATTTTGAATATGTCATTTTAAGACCTTTCCCCTCTAATACAGACTGATACTGCATCTGTCCTCATGGAGGCAATGGAGTACATACGTTTCCTTCATGAACAAGTTCAGGTTTGGACTTTGGCCTTTGGCCTTCTCTTGCTTATTTTCACCTTTATCCTGCTAGTCTGCCTGCTCTAGAAGAACTGCATTGCAACCTGGAAATACATGCACTAGTTGGACAGTGAGATAAGAAAATCGAAAGTTTTTAAGATGAAAAATTAACTTGCAAAATGTTATCATTGAGCTCTTAAATAGGTTCTAAAAATTACATTTTTTGTGGAATTATCCAACTGTATGCAATGGCGTGTCAAATATGTGGGTTTGTTTTCAATATCTGACCTGGGAGCTATCATTGTTTGGACTCCAGATCTGTTTAAAGACATGTCATCTGAAAATAGTCCTCGCAAAATTGGACTGGATTCCTGTGCTTTCCATTGATTAAGGTTATAATAGAGAACACACTCTTTTGTATATTTATTTGACTTTCTTGAGATGGCTTGCACATCATCAATCCACAATGGACTCTTGTCGTTTGGTTGCAATTAGAGTGTTTTTCAATGTAGTTGATTTTCTTTAGGGAAAGAACACAAAGTTAAGCTTTTCGTTATTGTTGCCTCATTGCGCAAGCTTGGTGGCTAAGACCTTTGTGTGTGATAACGTTGCAAATATGATTTTTTTTTTTAAAAAAAAATTGTTGCAAATACCATTTAAGAAACAGTGATGATACTATGTTGATTTCTTATCATTGCAGTTGTAGAACCATCAAATGTTAGTGTGCTTTTGTTTGAACACTGAGATGCAAATTTGACTCTTAAGCTCATAGCCTTTACCTTTTTGTGGTGGTTTCAGGTTTTGAGTGCTCCATACCTCCAAGGTGCATCAACAGCTCAAATTCAGGTGAGCATGAGCTGGACCTACATAACATGACACTTTCCTATTGCACACTTTCCTCCTAAAGAGCAATGTCCTTCGTAGTCCATTTTCCCGATACATCCAAACATTAGCTGCATGTGGTCCACTTGGACATGCCATTGCCCCCACTGAAAAATGCTATTACGTTTATAACCCATTCTAGCATGGAAAACCAAATACTTGATTGAAAGTTACAGCTTGATTGATCACTTGTGCAGGAATTAGGGCAACACAGTCTAAGAAACAAAGGTTTATGTCTTGTACCGATCTCTTGCACTGCCGGCATTGCTCGTAGCAACGGTGCAGATCTCTGGGCCCCCATCAAGAGCCCTCCTCCCAAATTCAGTAAGGCTATCTCACAATTTAATTGACACAATTTAGCTCTGCAACTTGAAGGTTGCTTTAAGGTGGCGTGAAGGGTAACCGACTTTCTGGATGCGCAACAAAGTTTTGTCGGGCAGATGCAACTTTGTAACAGAATTTAACATGGGCGAAATGGATGTTCTCATGTTATATTTTAGTCAAGCTCTCAATGATGTATAATGTCAAGTCACCATTCTAGTACTAAGTACGTTTCTAAAAACGAAATTTCTAGTTTTAAGCTGATGACAGGGCACGGTATATGATATGACTGTATCTCCTGATTAGCAAAATGTATATTTACAAACCTAATATGTATAACGAACCTAACAGAAGATTAATCAATATATGGGAGCCATTTATGGTTTAGATTTTCCCTGCCTTTTCTTTGAAAGATATATCTAGCAGATTCCTGTTATGAGCTCTAAAGGTGCTATTAACTTCCGAATTTTCATTTAATTATCCCAACCAAGCTTTGGCGGTGGGTGATTTGAGCCCCGAAACTCTTGAGCGTATGATTGAATTACGAAACTCTTCACTTGAGCATAAAGATTGAACCACAGGAAAATCAGATCATTATCTATATAGTTGCAACTTGAGTGATTTTGCAGGAGAAGGAAAAAACTGAACGATTTTGGTTTGCATGCTCGCATCTGCAAAACTACTACGAAGCCTAGCTATATATTGGACACTTGACAAGTAGGCTTTCCTATGTTTTAAGCTTTGAATGATGCACAATAAGTTCAAGAGCCTAATTCTGAACTGAGATAGAAAAATGGACGATGCATTCCAAAATGAATCTGAATTCTCATGATAACGAATGATTGTGTGAATTTATGGATGATCCCAAAGCAGGGTACCCACCACCCACATTGGATGCTCTAAAAGCTTGGCACCGAACTGAGTTTGCACTTTGGCTTTTTTTTTTAAAAAAAAACCAAGGACTGCACAGAAGATGTGTAGCTTCCCTGAAACCAAGTACAGTACTTTATATCACTGACGACCTTCATAAAACATCAATTTGGAGGTTTGGAGCCACCCAGTCCTATGATATCTTAAGAGGGGCAGAAACGAACGCTAATAATGCCGATCACCACTGCATATTTCCAAGTTAACTAAATCGTTATTCTTTATGAATCCAAGATAGTAAAGATACAGGCATGTCAGCGCGAAATTAAGCCACTCTTTTAATTGAGACCCAAAAAAGCCACTCTCTTAGGATGCTGAAACAGGCTTAACCTTCTCCCTCAAGAACTGCAGCACATGTTCCCGTTTCCAGTTGTCAATTCTGCAAGTAAAATAACAGTAGAAATTCTCAGTACAGAAGGCAATAGAACCTCATTATTTTTCTTGGAATGCAAATTTCTAATATATGAGAACTGCTAATTGCTTTGGAGGAGCTAAACAAGGCTCGTGTACTTTCCAAGCCAAATGAAGATCAAAACAAATTTCTGTGTATTTGTTCACCAATTGTTATGCAGGAGCAGAAGTAGACATAATAAAAGCAGCTCACCTAATGGTTTCCTTATGCTGACCCTCATCATCTAGCATGATAAACTTTGGTGGAGAATTGAAAAGATACTGGACTTTAACAGTAGGAAATTGATCCTTCTCTTCTTCAATGAAACTAACAATTTCAGGATAGAAAACCAATTTCCTCATGCAAACCTCTAGTATTGCACCAGAGTACGTAATCTGCAGCAATTTAGATACATCTTTCAGTTCCAATAAAAAGGAGAAACTTAGTGATTCTCTTTGATGTATATGCATGTATGAAAATTAGATTGTAAACTTCTTTAGCATTCAAAGCTAGTGTCAGTTACAATTGCATGTCCATGAAAAACTGGAGAAGACTTAGAAATCTGTTCTTTATTCATTTAGGTGCTGTTTGGTAATCAGGAATAAAGTGATGGGAATGAGAATGCAGGAATCGGAATGAAAATTAAGAAATCAGAATAGTATTTGTATTCCAATACTGTGTTTGGAATACTAATAAGGAATTGGAATGCAATTTAAATTTTTTAATATGTGATTTTGTATACAAATATAAATACTAATTAAAAAATAATTTTATTAAACTATAATAGTTATAAAAATAATAAATGTGATGCTAGTGATTGTGGTGGTTCTAATGATGGTGGTAGCGACGGCGGTAATGATTGCGGTAATGATGGTGGTTGTGATTGTGATAATGATGGTTGTGGTGGTGGTGGTGGTTGTGATGATGTTAGTAGTGGTAGTGGTAGTGGTAGTGGTAGTGGTTGTGATGGTGGTGGTTGTTATAATGGTGGTTGCGGTGATTGTGGTGATGGTAATGGCGGTAGTGGTGGTTGTGATGGTGGTGATGAAGATAGTGGTGGTCGTGGTGGTGGTTGTGGTGGTGGTGGCAAAAGTAGTTAATAGATAATAAATAAATAAAACATATTATTATTTTGAAAAAAAATTCATTCCCGTTCCTTGTTTTTTATTCTCACATCTTATGTGGGAATGAAGTAGTATGTAAATTTTCATTCTCATTCTCATTCCCACTTCATTCCTTTTAACCAAACAGCTACTTAAGGATACAATTGACCACATTTTTTTCCATAGTCCGTGCTGTTGTAAATATAGTAAGTAGATATTTACATGTTGTAACTATAGTAAGTAAATACATAATTATAGGAGTAATCATAGGAGTGTCCTAAATAGGGTAGCTGTGTGTATATATATATATATATATATATATATAAAAGAGAATTCAGTTTCATCTCTATTTACACGTACCAATTATTGGCCTTTCGAATTGAATTAGAAATGAAAGAATAGTATAAGCAAGGAATTAAAAAGAAAAGGGTCAAAAGGAAATTCAAAACATAAATTTGAGCTCCAAATATTAATTTACCCTCAATATAATACATACCTTGCTCATGGAATCATCAGAATCCTCTGTGCAACACTTCCAACAGTCAGACACCAACTCTGCAATCAAAACTTTAGTGTTAGACTACTAGTAACCAGAAGGCAGTATAACAGACTTTTTACATTACTATGCCCTTTAGAAAAGTAGAGTCCAATTGATAAGTACAATATCTTTGATCCAGTCACTTTATCTTCCTAAAAGTAAAGTCAAGTATCCCATCATTCAATTCTGTCAACTTAGTTACAGCCTGACTGCTAGCAGCTAGTGTAGTGCTATGGGCAGGAAGAAATTAATGTGTTCCTGTCTAACGGACTTTGCCTTGATCTCTTTTTGGCTTAATTCTATCGCTTACATAAAAATCTTTCCATCAGTCCCTGGTTTCTTATTATTAGATTACAGTGTCGTTGATACGCATACCCCCACCGTGCTTAAGTCATCGCATGGGCATGGTACCACACACTATACTTCATCCTGTCTTATCTTAGAACTCAACAAGTTCAATAGCTTCAGTTAACAGAGACTGTTATCATCAGTAATGCATATGGTAATGTCAACATCTCAGTTGAAGAACCAAACGAGAGAATAAGCTACCATAAAGCTTTTATTGGACATAACAACTGCAACACATTTCCATAGAATGACCAAGCCATTTAGAACAAGATGGACTGTTTACATCCTGCGCGCCAGATGACCGATCATGTCAATACCACAACACTTGAAAATCATTCACATTAGTTAAACAGCCAATCCACCCATACCAAAAACAAAACCAACGAGGAGAATCATTCAATCATTAAAACGTCTTCATCATGCAAATATCTATGCCTCCCTACTTTATAAGCCAAATTCTCACAGCTGAAGTTCACTAATCCATATTATCAAACATCATAGAAAACTGAAATGGCAAACACCATCCATAAAAGGCAATTTCTTCCGAACCAAAAGTGCCTGCTCTTTTTCAGTGAGATTGGAGGAACACGGGGATAATATCAAATTCTCTGCACTTTCAAGTTACATCAACATGCCTATTTGAGAATCCAACACAATCTCAATGTTAACACTAATTAAATAGAAACAAATCGAAACTAACTCACATGGTCACCACCTATTACATTCCACAAAACACCCAAGATCCCAACTCTTAACCCAAACAAACCTTCAATATCCCATAATATTCAATACCCAGAAACCAAATAACCAAAAACAAACAACCAAAACAACCCCTAAAACAAAACATCCACATAACCAAACTAAAACCTACATTTCGCTTAAAAATTCAAAAAAACACAAACTTTATGACAAAAAAAAAGGCTAAAACAGAGAGAAATATCAAAAGGGTCTTTAGAACTCACCTTGGTTTTTAACATACTCAGCAAAAGTATTGCAATCAGAGCAAAGTGCAAGTCCTGAAAATCCTAGATCCTCACATTCTCTTGAGCTCAATTTTTCATTGGATTTCACAACTGGTAAAATAAAAGTAACTAAAAGCAATAGTATACAATATTTATACACATTCATGTTTAATATCTCAATCTCTATAATGATTTTTTCGTAAAGTTTCAGTCTTTTTAGAAGATCAAACAAGTTTTAGAGTTGAACGTTGATGAGGGCTAATGGTCCTTTTGTTGTGGAAAATTTGAGCAGTTGACTTTGATACGAGTCGTTTCTGTAAGAGAGAGGGTGACGACATGACGGTTAGAGTCCAACATAATTTCTCTTTTAGAGGATAAACTTTGGTTAAATTTCTTTTTGATTTTGCAGGTTTTTTTTAATACAAATAATAATCCATCATCCAGTCTTCTTATGATTTATAATTTTACGAGGACATAGAAAATGAAATATGTATCTGAATTTAAATATATTCCTATATTTACACATCGTGTTCTTGTATTATTTAATATTGTATATTTTAATTTTTATTTATTTAAGTATGGTACAAAACAAATTATTCATTATTCAAAATTGGAATAAATCTGTCATATTATTCATTTTTACTAACCTCGTGTCGTCATACAATTGGTCAGATGTTAGATGGAAAAGTTGATTTATCTATCTCTATTCCATCATCACTATCACTACACAATCATTTCTATTATTTTTATTATTATTATAATTGATAAAATTATTTTTTAATTATTATTCTCATTCATGTTAAAAATTATATATTAAAAAAAATTAAATTTTATTTCGATTCTTTAATAGTATGAGAGTGCAAATTTCATTCGATTCTCTAATATTTTAAACACAGTATAAAAATACAAATATCATATTGATTTTCTAATTTTTATTTCGATTATTGTATTCTCATTTTGAATCTTTTATTACCGATAACCAAACAAGACTTAAATAGTATGAGGTATGTCTTGTAAAGTACAAAGATAATATGTCTTTCACCTGCATTTGCCCCTGACCATCCTCTTCCCTATCAATAATTTGGGATCGACAAGTTAGTGTTGGATCCACAAGCAATTCTCTCTCTCTCTCTCTCTCTCTCTCTCTCTCTCTCTCTCTCTCTCTCTCTCTCTCTATATATATATATATATATATATATATATATAGAAAGAAAGAAAGAAAAAAAAAAAAACCTTGAACCATCGGAAACTATATTTTAGGCGTCACAGAGTGCCAATTGAAGTAGAGCAGCAAGAAGGTGATGTGCATTTGCAAGCTAGAAGAATTAACGCTTGCAGAAAATGCAGCCAGGAACTCGTATATTTTAATTAAGGCATGAGAACCTACAACAGGAGTGAGATTTGCCATTACACTAGAAACATTACATGAACACACCCCTTGTTCTCCAAAAAGGAGACAGGGTGAAGTTACAGAGAGCACACAGGACAAAAACACCTATCGCCATTGCAAGGAACAACAGTGGCTCTACATACAGATACTCTTTAATAAACATAGAGTTACAATAAAATTAACCAAAGAATAATGGACTTTAAATACTGTGGGTATTAGCTATTATCTCGTGTCGTGATAGGCGAGGGCGAGGGCTTGTCTGTAGTCTCCCCACTGGACGTATGTGATTTGGCACACGAGCGTGCCATTTCTAACATCAACTCTACTTCTTTCTTGTACTGCAAAGTATGATCATGATTTATGAGATGGATTTTGAACTTTGTAAAGCTAATCGACAAGTAAATACTGAAAAAAAGAAAAAAACAGCACTATGGAAGGGAACTAACCTCATTGATGGCCCCTGACCTAATTTTAGATTGCATCACACACCATTTCTTGAAATGTGCACCTGCAGGAATAGCAAGATTAAAATTTTTCACCCTTTCCAGAAACAAATTTACAGACTGTAGAAGATGTTTAACCATTTTAAACAACAAATAATAAGATCAAAAGAATACACAATTAGTGCAGGCACTGCTGACAGGACAGGGTGAGTCGGTCCTGTCCATAGAGAAACTCATGCATTCTAAAGATCATAGTATGTGGGAAATTCTGGTATCTATGCTTCCACGCACTTGAACATGAACCACAAATTTTATGCACTTTAACAAATGCAAAAGAAAAGTGTTTGGTGGTTTCATTAGTTCCTCTTTCATGACCACAATACACGAGTTGAAAGAGTAAGATGGATAAAAAGAAAAGCAGTCAACAGGAGTTGAAAACAATCTATTTATACAAATTTGATTATCGGCAGAATCTAAGTAAGGAAAAACCTGGCATCTGTCAAGGAGATGAGGGCAAAAAAAACCTACCCACTTTTATATCCATTGTACATGAGTTTTCACCATTGGTCTCCAAGATCCAGCGACAGTGAATCTAATGCAGGGCAAGCAATACAATGTCACCACTAATGTCGAAAACAATAACACAAAAGACAATATCTACACATGAAGTAGAACCTTGTTATGCTAAGAGATAAAGTGTGAAACACACAAGCTCCTAAAATGAACACATTCTCAATCTCAACAGGCACAAAATCCAGCACCTAGTCAGCTTATCTGGAATAACAATTCAAAACTCTAGACTAATTTGTAAATTACGTTTCCAATTCTTTATTTTGTCATCCAAGTTTTTGCTCAATTGATGAAACCTCAAATATAACACTGTCCAGAGTGCCTCTCAGATGCAAAGGAACAAATGAACCTTTATAACATGCTTTACATCCTATGATTGACTCATTAGGAAATTCATTACTCTTTTAATTTATATGGCTATATTTTCCCAAGGTACCTAAATTGCACATACCTCAAAGTAAGATCCAAAGGGAACATCATGCGGCTGTTGAACGGTTTCAAACACCTAAAAAAGGGCAGATAAAAAAATAAAAAAATATACACAACTGAAAAGTGAGAAATAAAGGGCAATAATTTCCTCCTAAACTAATTGGAAGAAATTTCCTCCTTACCCATAGGGGTCATGTTATTACAATGACATGTATGAAAAAAATCTTGTATAACAAAATATTAGTTTCTCTTCTGGATGAGAGTAAGAACTGAAAAGGGGGAAGGATTGGAGAAAGGGTATTGAGAAATAAAATATATGCGACATCCACTAGTCGGTAGAAAAGGCTACTAAACTTCTATGTACACATTAAATGGGGCGTTAGAGAGGGAAAAAAAGATTTATCAAGGTAGAAAAAATGGTAAGAGAACAAATTCATTCAAAAACATTGTGAAAGCTGGCAGCATAATACTATGACATCTATGGACAGGAGGAAGTTTCCTCCAACATGGGATGGGGAAAATTATTGTCGCAAAATAAATATGGTCTTATCACAAGGGATATATTGAGGTTCTTTGGATATGGGTGAAGCAATCAGAGATCATATGAAACAACAGGATTGCTACTAGCATTAAGAAGAAATTTGCAGGAGGGTGAGATAAGAGGTCGCACAAGCTTTTTCTTATCTGGTGACAGAACAAAATGCTGCCATTCAGTCACAGCTGTGTCTGGAGGGCACATGGGACTATTGCATAAAGATCTGAACGTAATCTCTCTCACTTGACCATCATATTCATCTGCTGCATGCCACTGTCCAATCTGGAAATACCACAAACTAGTAAGTGCTGTATAGAAGTAGAGAATAGTGGATAATTAGCAAACTCACTAAATTTTTTATCCAATAAAGAATTGCCTCTCAGTAAAACCAAACTTGATCCACATTTAACAGCAGAAGTAACAAATTTACAGTTAAATGAGGATCAGTGGACTACTATGACAGTCATTCACGATAAAACTAAAAAATGATCAATATTACCTAAACTTGTAAGTTATATCATGCAAACGAAAAACAAAACCTTCAAAAAGAAAACAAACCTATTAGCCCAATAATAAATGAAACCTCAATGGAGACTATTTTATCCAATGTTAGTGCAAAGTCAGATTATGGAATTTCCGAATTTCCTCTAATTTTGCTTTCTAAGAAGGCCATCTATGAAATGTTGCACCTGGGATCTATCAGAATCCCACGTAAATACATGTTTAAAGAAAGAAGAATCTATCCAATACTAACAGTTCGTCAATATTTACAGTAACTGCTCAAATGAACTTTTGCTACTCTAAGCATAATCCAAACCTGTCACCAATTAAGCTGTACAAGCATTATTACAAACATTATTGATGCAGACTGATATGAAGAGAGTACTTAAATAACCAAACATACAGGATGTGAAAACTAACAACATTTGAGGAACGTTGCACTTACAACAAGATTTGAATCCTTTCTAACTGAACGATACTCATTTATAAAAGTTGAGCCGTCCTTCAAACATATATTAAAAAACTGCTCGGCAGTGCATGGAAATAAATCCTGCAATAGAGAATAATCAATTTTACAGAAGTAATATTATGATAAGCCAAACCCATGAGAAGGTAGAAGGATAAAGTGTTCATACATTGTATATATCAACAAGAACCTCTCCTTTGATGAAAGCTTGAAGCTTTCCAGCTTTCTGCACATCTTCAGGAATCTTGGCTTGCTTTATAACACCCCTGATGGAGCTACTATGTGCACGCAGTGCTGATTCTGCCCTCTCCTACATGACAATAAAAGCATAACAAGTGAGACTTTTTTTTCGTTATAATTTGCAGAAGATGGTTCATCAAGTTTCAGGCAAAGCATAAAACTTGGAGAACAGTAACAGTCAACATTATTCCGGATCAATTAGAGGGGAGCAAATTCACTCACTATTGGAAGACTAACTCAAATACTCCGGCACCTAAAATATCCTGGTCTCCTAACAGCCAACTACAGAAAGATTCAATGAAGAAAGTATTTGTCGGACATTGCCCATATACTAAATGTAAAGGAAATCATTTGTAGATTCAGAGTAGTTCTGGAAGACCTTTCCAAGGCAAAGCAATTGAATACTGTGATCCAAGGGCTCACCCGGTACCAACTATGACGGAATATGGTTTCTCAACAACAAAACAGAACTTTACATGAGATCAAGGAAAAGGAGGAACAAAAGGATGATTAATGGAATCCACAGGCACTTCAGAACAGAATACCTTCCAAATATATAAAAGATCAATGACAGAACTTCGGAACAGAATACGTTCCAAATATATAAAAGATCAATGATAGATGCTATCAAGTTGCACCCCTACCAAACAAATAATCTTTACTTATTCCAAAAAGATGATTAATGGAATTCACAGGCACTTCGGAAGAGAATAACTTCCAAATATATAAAAGATCAACGATAGATGCTATCAAGTTGCACCCCTACCAAACAAATAATCTATACTTATTCCAACAAGTAACATCAAATTTTAAACCATACTTCAACACAAAATTTATATAATAGTTGTCATGTCTTGTCCTCGTACCACATGAGCCTTTTATAACAATACATTTCTCATGTAATGGCGAATAATTCATTCAGGAAGATCTTATGTATCTTGTTGATCTTTATTTCAGAGTGAATAAACTGTGTAATTAACATTATATGTATCTTATATCACCAATTTGGTCTCAGAAACCTTAAAAACCAAAATAAATCAAAGTTCAAGAGCAATGAAATTCTTATTCTGAGGAAACGAATTACCCATAATTGACATTGCACCTTTCACTTCAATGGCGATTAAGGGAAGCAATTACTAAGATGCCATGTAACTATAACAGTTGCCTTACTTTTTCAAATCAACTATCAATCAATATAAGGACATCTTGAAGTTAACAATGATATGACTGCATAGCTATTTTCCATCAAGACCTGAGCTGTGTGTTTCTCTATGGCACTTAAATTGAAAATGCACCCGTGCATGTACACGGTCACCCTCATGTGTGTATAAATAAAAGCTAAGGAAATGGAAAATTCATCCCTGGTATAAACAAAGTATAGAAGAAAAAATTTCCCACGCTTGTTTCTAGGGTGTGTGTATATATATATATATATAATATTAAGAGACCGTAGGCAAAGCAATTTGAAGGTTACTATCAGAGGGACTCTCCCTATTTCAAAGAATGACTTCAAGACTAGTGTTTATTTAGCAGAATCTTATAAAAATTCAAAATTGTTCTCATTTTGTCTGCAGAATATATCATTTAGAACTTAAAAAAAATCAAAAAATAAAACTCTTCAATTGATGTAAATAATAACAAAAGACAACACAAAAAACAATTCAAGAGACCTTTTTCTCAGCTTCCATCATGGTGTGGTAGTTCTTTTCTGCACGCTGCAGTCCTCTTAATGCATGATTCCTGTTCCAAAAGGATGCAAATTTATACCTGACTCTACCTGAAAATGGCAAAGAAGGATAAAAGAAATATAAACATAACTAAACAGCTGAATTAACGCTAAAAGCATAATTTTCCTCAGATGATGACTGCTTCCAGATACTGGTCCAACAAAGTAAATGCACATTGGATTTGTTTAAAAAAGACATAGAAATCTGAAAAATATTCTATTATGGAAGAAAGAACTACAGATACTGGCTTACATAAATGAAAGAGTGTTGCCAAAGCAAAGTACATTTTCCATCATGGGAAAAGATGCTACCATATTGTTAGATGCAATATAGTAGAAAGTTGAATGTGCAAAGGAATAAAGAGAAAACCCACGTAACAGCTTAAGTGTGCATCTTCTGAAATGTCTCCAGTTCTAATAATGTTATTCAAGCATATCTCATACCTTATGTATGTGTGTGTGTGTGTATTTACAAGCCGTGGGATATCTCCACTGCTTGGAACTAGCTGTGTGAGGCCATGTGAGGCCATGCGTGGGGCGGACGAGAGCCCACCTTATTTTTTAGGAGAGGCCTCATCCTGGCATACCACAGGAGTTATAAATTTACAAGCTATCATTGGCCAAATCTTATTTGTGTTAACCCATGTTAGTTTTAAGCCTATCTCATACTACTAACAAACCATTACTATGAAAAAACCAAAAATTGTAAAATTATCAGAATTTAGACCATTAAGCAGGTTAACTGTAATAAGAAGCACAATTTTTTCCAGACTGTACTTCAACCAAGGGCAAGAAATTCTCAACTTGTGGCAGGGACAACCTTATTAAATAAAAATCAAGCAGGGTAGTTATAAAAATATATATAAAGATGATGAAATATTGGGAAAAATCAATGATTAATATGAACCTTAAATGCAACCAGGATTCTAACTGGGTAAGGCACTTTCTCATAAGCTTCAAGCAACACAGACATACAGTGTTGATCCAATAATATGATACATTACAGATACACAAGCTGAAAAAAGAAAAATAAAATATCAAGGAAAAGTTCATAACAAAATGATAACTAGAAAAACTTGCCTGCTTGTTATCATAACTGTTTTCTCTTTTTGGTTTTTGTTTTCAAAATTTCCACATTAGATTTTAAGAATCAGAAAATAAAGAATAGAGGTAGAATAACTAACAATTTGAGACATAAAAAAACAATGTAAAGACTTAATATGGCTTGGGAGAATAGTGAAAACAATTTCAAAAACAGAAATAGAGAACAGAGACAAAAAACAGAAAACGGCAAGAATACCAAATGGCCATTTTTCCTGACATCTGCAAGAGAAATTAATATCAGCAATTTAAGCAATAAAAACTTCAAAAAGATGTCCCACCATCAAGATTTAAACAAAATCCAAGAAATGTGGCAAATTTTTAAAAACATGTCATTTAACATATCGAGACCTCTAGAGTGATGGAAAATGATAGGAAATGTTGAAACATTAGAGTGCAAACAATAGGTGATTTCCTCTTGAAGATTAAAAAAAAAAAAAAAAAAAGAAAGAAAGGATAAAAGTATAAAAGCTTTTGAAGAATTCAGAGTATGAATTTAACCACTAACCATCAGGACTTCCTAGAGGAGGAACACCATGCCCACCAGCACCCATTCGAAGAATAATTGTTATAGCAGGATTAATAAATGCATGCTGACTCCTACGAATCTGTGAAAACCAAAACATTTGGCTGTGCGTAAGTGTTTCATGTGGCTAATGATACGGCCAAGGTAATATCCTCAAAAGAAACACATGAAAGGCATACCTCATCTATATCTCCAAATGGTATGACCACCTGAAACATAAATATAAAAGAAAAGGGGACAAAAGAAGACCATTAGAGTGAGTCATTGCTACCGAGCACACCTATGATGAATCAAAACCTGAATATTGTAACAAGATAGATAACTTGAATTTGGAAACTCATTGAACAAAAGAATTGGCATAAACTTTTACAAGAGGAAAAGTTTTATAGAAAAAGAGAGCAAAATTAACTAGGAGAAACTTTTAAAAGCAGCAACATGAAGTTATACATTCAAATCTCCCATGTTTTATGCCTAGAAAGATTAAACACAAAGCAAATTATGAGAGCTCAAAAATCCATTACTTTGCAAAAAATTAAACTTGCAAATTGGGCCAAGTGGAACATACTACATTCTTCTGTTCTAATAATGAGGCATGACATGAAACCAATGACAAGAACATGTCAAGCATTATTCCTCCGCCCAAACACAAAAGAACTATGTCTGCCTGCCTTCACCAACACCCCAAGACTGAAAGGTGAATATAGGGTGGAGGGAAGGCAGGTGGTTTCAATAATCTATTAGTGCAGGACTAGTACTTTTTGTTTTAAATGAGTGTCAGAGAAATCAATAAAATGGTAATACGACTCATGAGAAAGATGAGCTAACCTTCATTTGCTTAGAAAACACGTTAGAATGGAAACATATGTGCCATGCAGAGACATACATGCGGCCATGATACAAGAATGACCTTTCAAGTGCACATGAATAACTATGCTCAACAACCTGAAAAGAAAGTACGCTTGTTAAGCCAGTAACTGGATATGCTGCACAGAAACTAAAAGGACTTATTCATGAGCTCAATAGATAGACAGGTAGAACAAGAAATGGTGTTTGTGCAACTTACCTCATCTGGAAGGAGATTAAATATTGTTTGCAAAGGCCCGGGCTTTTGATGAACCACCGTAGGCCCTTGTTTATCTATTGAAATCCTCCTCCGAGCATTAGCTCCAGCATATCCATTTATAGCCCTATCAGTAGAAACTCTGAATTAATTCAGGACAGCTAACAATTCCACCAATATTTAGAGTTGAGACTAATTCTAGTTACTTGACATGGCACATGGTTGGAGGAGAAATAATCTGCACTAGTCAAATCAGTTTCATTCTTTGGAGAGCAAAAGAGTGAGCAGCGTAGTCCAAAATCCATAAAATAAGATAACATGCAAACCAATTATTAACTCCAGAAAATAGAATTTACTGAAGAGACACTGACATGGAGCAATGCACAGGTTAAGCTAGTTAGAAAAATTGGCAATTTTTCATTTAAGAAAATTATTTATCTGGGCATCTTAATTAAAGCATTATTAGAAATCAAAATTAGCAGTCTGAGAAAACTACAAATGCAAAAAATAAATCCAAAAGTGGGATTCCCACTCCATCATCAGATTGTGTATTTGTGGATGTATGCTAATGAGGTAAATGGTTTAAGGCAATAAACCAAAGGCGTACCTGGCGGAATTTGCAGGCACCTTTATTGTTTTAATATGTAGGCAAACCTGACAAAGCAGGAGAAAATTTTATCAGTCTCTGAGAAACAATAAACAAATTGAAGTGGTAAAAACAATGGGAAACAGAAATACCAACAAAAATGCGAAATAGGAAAGTTACCTGCCCGGATGGACTATCTAATGTATACCATTCTGCACCAGTTTGACCTTCACTTTCGACTGGAACAGTTACAGAACCAAGAACAGCACTTTTCCAAATTATATCCCAGTCATATATTGTCACGTTAATCTACCAAGCCAGTAGGAAAAGAGATTAGTTTGAAGGATTCTCACAACTTTCACTGAAGCTATGTTGAAAGTCAAAAATAAAACAGGTAGACAAATTCAAGGAAAACAACTTTCCCATTGAAATGATTACTAACCAGACAATGTTTTATAGCAGTTTAAGAGGAGAATGAAACAGGTAAATACAAAAGAAAAATTGCCAACATCAATGACAGTAAAGTGCATAGAAGAAGGGGAAGAATCAGGAATAAGGAAACTGCAAGCTTAAGACACCAATAAATACTTCTAAAGGTACAAAAGTGTACGTTTGGAGAATTATTTGTCATGTATGATGTATATACAAGGTTCTAGAACATACAATTCTTAATACCTCACATGGCAGTTGATTTATAACTGCCAGTCTACAATTACCTGGACAGGGAGCTCATCAACAGAAAAATTGAACTCTTCTCCCCACATTGGATTTCTTGAACCAGGGACCATTGAGCTGTGACAGCAACAAAGCAAAGATAAATAAATGGAGCAGAACAAATCATTCATCAAGCAGAAATCGAATTAAACAACTTGTATCAAGAAGATAGGAACCTATGCTAAAGCATTCAAAACACTTTATGTGATGCACCATATGCCTATAAGATTAAACAAAATAAAATAAAACCAGAATGACCAAGTGATTAGAAAAACAAAATGGTGACTCAGTCACAGGCATAATGTTGATGAAATACATGCTCACGTTAGGAAGTTAATAACTATAACAATACAAATGCCCAACAGTTTTTTTTTTTTAATCCACATGTTCCACAAAATTTCTGACACAATTATCAGATTACTGTTCCCATGGAAACCCAACAGGGCCATCCCAACCACCATATTAGTATTCTGTCCCAAATGTACAATTATAAATATATGTTTTAGAATCCATGACAAGTTCATAAAAATAAAAGTGTAAAACAGATCAAATAACCTGAATCGTTTTTCAGAACCACAAGTGATGATTGCATAAGGGTCTGAAGTGCCATTTAAATTTGCACCAATGAGATTCTTAGCTGCCAACAATTCCAACTGAAATAGAAAACACAGATAAAACAATATCAATCTCGCTGCCAATAAAAATCACAGTGCATGACATGCTATATGGGGTCAATTTACAACTTTCCATGATAATTATGTATAACAGAATCAAACATGTTCATAGATTCAAAGATACCTTGATTATATATGCAGAGTTGGCCTGAGAATCTCCTTTCAACTGTCCCATCTACAAAATAAGTGCAGAACTGCATGTCAAAGAAGTGGAAAATTACTCCATGAAACAAGCACCATGCAAGATTGCAACACAAGTAAAGTCTAATCTTTGATCGTACATATACTGTATGCTTCATAGATTTTATTGTGGTTAATGTGATTCTAGAAACAAAAAAATAGTTCCTTGCCTCCTCACATTTTAGGATGGTCCCTACAAGTATTCCCTCGCTCCAATATATTCCACTACTACAGTTGGGTTGCTTTTAGAATCACAGGACCAAAAGTATTAATCACGCTAAAAGCTAAGGGACTTGAGAATACTTTTTCAAAGGCAAATATTTAAACCAGATGCATTCAAAGGACCTAGTGCAATTTATACTACCTTTTGAACTTATCATCATTTCAGTCCCTAAAACGAGAGTGAAATCAAATTATTACTTCACCACCAATAAAAAACAAAGAAAACAAAAATTTTGGTATTAAAGATGTTAATCATCAAAAACCCATTAAACATTAGTCAAGATTTTTTTTCTTTGAAAAAAATGTTCTTCACAAGATCAATGCCACCGTCAGAAAACTCATTAAAAAAAAAAAAAAGACATCTTCAAGGCATTGAAACAATTCACTTCGAGCACACTAATTATCTAAAACCATAAAAAAATCACATAAACATAAAGACGAATCAAACTTTATATAAAATAACTTAAAAACCAACAATTACCCAAAAAAAACAAAACAAATTCACGTAAAATATTTTAAAAAAATAAATTAAAACTTTACATAAAATTGAATTAAGAAAAAAAAACTAAAAATCAGAAAAAAAAATCTTAGTAGACAATAAAATCCCATCAAATAAAAAAGTCAAACTTTACAAAAAAATTGACCTATCAAAAATAAAAATTAACACAAAAAGAAACCAAAAATTAACCTTATATTTATCATCAATGCCATCTCCAGAATTCTCCAAAACCACCGCTCGATCACCACCACCACCATCAACATCTCCGCCACCTCCTCCACTCCACGAGAAAAACCAATACGCCACGATCACAAACATCGCAGCTACAACCGTCACCTTGATCTCCCACCATGAAGGCACCAAAAAATCCAGCGCTGCCGTTTCAATCATCCTACCTCGCCGTTTCAACTCTCTTCTCTCTCAATTTTTGACAAGAACTAAACCAATCAATGATAAAATAGGGTTTTAAATAATAATGAGAGAAAGAGAGAGCGTGAGCGTGTTGATTTTGAAGAGTAAAATAGAGAGACCATTTCTAGAGAGAGAGAGAGTGGTATTTTTTTTTTTTTTTTTTTTTTTTTTTTTAGAGAGAGAGACTGAAGTGACGAAGTCTAAAAAGTAGACCGTTGTTGGGGGTTGAATTGGGAGATTAATAACGACAGAGAAGATAGAGACTGGAAAATAAAAAACCGTTTGTTTTTACTCTGACGGAAATGGCCTTGTGGTTGTTTCGCCATTACCAGGTGTATGGCGGCTTTGAAGGGTGCACGACTGTACGCTTGGTTATTTTGGAGGGTAGTTTCGGGAGAGGAAGTTTAAAAGGCTCAACTCCTGTGAATTGTGAAAATAATAATTAGTTTATGCACGGGAAAAGTCCTTTATTATATGTTGCCCCGAGAAAAATTGAAATTATTATTGTGAATATAAGAATTAGGCAAACCTCATATCAGTCCCCCAACTAACAGATTATTGTCAATATGGTAACCTAAAACTAAAAAGTTTTTCGTTTAGGTTCTTAAGATATTGTTACAAGTGAGAAAACGAGAGGACCGGAGATTAATCTTGAAAAGTAATAAAGAATATTTAAGCATAAAGGGTTTGCATTTGCAATTTACTATTTCTCATTTTTATCTAAAATCTTCATTTTGTAATGGAAAACGTCAAGTTTTTTTTTCTTCTTCTCAAGTTACTTCATTTTGTTAAAAAATATATGTGCAATTTAGATGGAAATATAAATGTACATCGATGTGAGGACTTAAATGGAAGAATATCTACTAGTTTTGAGATTAAATCTAGAAAATTTGTAATTTGGGGACCTAAGAAATCTTTGGGTGGTTGGGAGACTAATTTAAGGATTGGCGTCAAGGGTTTTCCAGGAGTAATCAGCGTGCACATTGGTTCGTCTCCCTTTCTTCTAGAATAATTTGATGATTTCCTAATGTGATAAAGACGAAAATTATATTTAAAAAAAAAAAAATGGCCAAAGTTAGCAAACACATTTTATACATGTAAAAAAAAAAATCCTAATACCTCAATTTAGCCCTAAACTATATTTTTTTTCATTTAGGTTCTCAAACTACTATGCATTTTTCATGTAAAATCTTATTCTTATAACGGAAAACGTCAAGTTCTTCACAAAATTAAGTCGTTTTATTGCATAATGAATGGACAAGGATGTAAAGACTCAGTTGAGGAGTATCTAACAGTTAGGAGATTTTATTGACAAACTTATAATCCGGGGACCTAGTTGAGAAATTGTGTATAGTTGGGAGACTGAACCTAACAATGACATGCACGCAGCTTTCTTTCAAAAGCAGCCTCGAGAGTATCCGTCCCTTACTGTACCAAAAGGCAACCTCAAAAGGACCGGAGGCTTTTTCGTCTGACCCTTGTAGCTGTCGGCATTCAAAGACCAACAAACAACGAAGCGGTCAGTCTTTCGTTACTAATTAATTTCTTAGACTTTGTTGGTTGCTTGGAAAACGATAACCTTGAGCTGTTCTGTTGATGACAACTTTTAAGTTCTAACCTTGTCCATTTCTAGTGGCTCTGCTGACACCGCCAAACCCCCTAGAGCAGTCGAGCAATAGACAGCTATTTCTCCGAAACATAGATTCTGGTACTGGATTGTTTTTTATTTCTGTTCTGAACTCTGATATTATCAAATTTTTTGGGTTTATTTATTTTGATATTTAGAAGCGGTTGGGATCTAGATTAAATTTATTATTTTTTAAATTAAAAAAACATCAGAATAGACCTAATTTTTTCGATCACTGGATTATCGTTTAAGACAAATCAGTCCTAACTTAGTTAACTTGTTTAAGAAGGTTTTGAATAGTTAGCGTTGAGAATTGTGGTATTAGGTAATACTTGAGAGCAATGTTATTGAATTCAATAACTATTTGAAAGAGACGTTATTGAATTTGGCCGGTTTAATTGGAAATCTAATGACCTGACCACCGAGATAATTCAAGTTGAGATAAAAACCGGATACGAAGGGATTAATCTACTAAATCCGTCCTAATATGGATGGATGGATGGACGGACTAGTGAATCAAGCATTGTCCAGGTTAATATATATATATATATATATATAGCTTGGATGGGTTGCTTTCAAACAAGAGAAAGTTCTATTGCATTTTGAGGTGAGGCTGATGCAGGGTAGCCTTGAATATGTTGAAGTATTTAGTGTTTTAAATGGAAATTATGCTCATACATTGCTTTTTTTAACCTTGAATGTAACGCTATCAATTAAATTGTATAAAATAGTTGCTCGGTTAGAGGCTTTACCAAGAAAGAATTTGAGGCAAAATATGGTGATAGATGGTCATGATTCTATGTGTTTTGGGGCTTAAAAATCTCATTTTGAGTGTGTTTTTTTTTTTTTTTTATCCAAGCATTTTCATCCCACGTTGGAGGTAGAATTAATTATGTTCGAAGCAGGAACAACAAAATTAACTCATTTCAATAAATACAATTTCAAGAATTCGAATCATTCACATTGATAAAAAAATTCATCTAAAAACTAACTCGTTTATATATCTCGCTTGTGTCATTATTGCTATTGCACTTACATGTTCCAAGGTTACTAGATACTTATTTTATCAAGAGATAGAGATATAAGTTATAATAGTTCAAAAAGTATTTATTGATTTTTTTTTGTTCCTTATGGATGATCATGCTCGTATGTGTTTTAGGGCTTAAAAATCTTAAAATCTCATCGTGAGTGTTTTTTTCTTATTACTCGAATATCTTTATTTTATATTAAAGATAATATTAATCATATTTAAAGTGAGGACAACAAGGTTTAATCATTCTTAACAAATATGATTTCAATATTTGAATTTTGTACTTAATCTTTCTCAATAAACACGATCATAGAAATCGAATTTCAAACATTTACAAAAAATAAAATCATCTAAAGAATCAACTTGTTTGAAAATCTCGCTGTGAGTGTGGTTACTATTGCATCTTAGATTTACAAGGTTACTAAATATTATTTTATCAAGAGATAGACATAAGTTATTGTCATAGTTCGTAAAATATCTATTGGTTTTTCTTTTCTTTTTCTTTTTTTCTTATGTACGTAGGGCCTGGACAAAAGCATCGAGGAATTTTTTTCCACCAAGATATGCAATTTAGATGGAAATATTAATGGACATGGTATGGTCCACACGGATGTGAGGAATGAATTGATGAATATCTAATTGTAACTAATACATGATAAGTGACAAAATAGATACAGATATACGTGATGTTGTAGGAGTCAACATTATTCATTGTTTTAAACAACTAAATAAACTTTAATAATTAACCTCAAGAACATCCAACAGGACCTTCTGTTATGTTACTCCCTACTTTTCGTTTTTGCTCTACGTGCAAGCTGCCCTCTGTTTTGTCTTTAGTGAGTTTTTGGGCTGCAGCTGGATTTCCTACCTATCTTCTGTTCTTTTTGCTGCTTTCGCTGACTGCTTTATGCTCGGATATATTTCTGTAGTTGAGACTTTGTTTTTCTCGCCTTCTGCTATTTTGACTCTGTTTATCGTTTTTTTTGGCTTATTTTAGGAGATAGCTAGAAATTCGTTCAATTAATTTATTTTAGGATTTTTTTTTCATTAGTTTCAAATCATATTACTTTTTCTTGGAATTTAAATTTAATTTAAATTGTTCAAATCTCTTCTGAATGTTTGTCTATTTAAAAATCAGTTTTTAAACTTTTAATTTTAAGTTTTACTTCTTTTATATATATATATATATATATATATATTGAGATTTAGTTGGATCTTTAATATTCTATCTAAAATTATGGTGACATATATAGCTTTATGGTAAAAATCATTTAATAAAATTTATTTAGAGCTCTCCAAAATGTCTAAGATTATTTCGGGTTATTTTTTGTTTTTTTATATTTTTAAAGTTCATAAAATAAATAAAAATATGCTTCTCGATATTAAAACATTTTGAGATTTTTTCAAAAAATGAATTGAATTTTTTCAATATGTGTGTAAAATGTTCGGTTTAAAATATTAAAAATTAAATATTTTAAAAAGAAAATGATACCTGAAAATCATAAGATAAACTAAATCTTAAAAAGTTAAAAATTCAAGAGAGATCAAATTCAAAATCAGAAATTTAAAAACTTATTTCACATTAAATTAAAATTCAGGTGAGGTTTCTCCATTTACGTTAAATTTATGTTTGTTTAATCATGTGTGGTGTAGAGGTCTCTGCCTTATTGCCAAAAAAAAAAAAAAAACATATAACCACACATTCATAGTTAAAGAAATGGAAGGATTTGATTTCCTGAAAGGGTCGTTTCAATTGTTACAGCTTCTGACGCTGCAAAAGTGGCTGTGTATCTTTTATTTCTTGAAATGGGTCTTCTTTTTCTTTTTTGTCAAGAAACGTTGAAGAATGTCCCATATTCGGTTTGGAAAATTGATAGAAATCGTGGTTCCGAATGCTTTACGACTACGGGCCCGACATGGCAGAAAAGCATCTAAGGGCATCCAAGGGAATTTACAGATTGAAATGCCATAGATAACACTAGAGCTGCATTTGAGACAAAATACATAAAATTATTTTTTAAAAAAATATTTTATTTTAATATTTTGTGTTAAATTATATTTTTATCAAATATATTAATCAAAACTGAATAAAAATTCATTCAATTTTATCATTTTTAATCAAAAGTTTATATTTGGCTAATTATTTTTATATTTTCATAAAATTTTTATTAAAAAATTTATCTATATTCACATTTTTAGCTAAAAACTTATTTTATAATTTTTTTAAACATCTTTTTATCTTAAAAATTTTAATTAAAAAAACAGAGAAAAAAAGACCAAAGTAACCAAAATAAAACAAAAAATGGAATCAAAATCAAATAA